CCCCCCCCCCCCCCCCCCCCGCCCTTTCTCCAGTTTTTTGTACAAGTGGATAGTCAACTGCTTCAATGTAAAGCCAAAATGCCGAGAAAGCGCTGGGCGAGTGCACGCCCTGGAGGCTCTCACTTGAGTGCATCGCGAGCCACCCTACCCTCACATGAAAGCCCTTCTGCTAGCAATATTCTCCTTGAAGTTTCGAAAGATCCGAAATTCTGTTCCTCAGGCTCTTCCCGTGCAACTGCCCTGAAGAGCGAGAGCGTGTTGAGCACCCACGGTGGGGATCTAACCGAAGAAGAAGTTTGCGTTTCCCCTCCCCCGGCACTTCTCCACGGTGAACACGCGTTGAATGGGAATGACTGTGCCTCTGTGGTAGTTTCGCAAGAAGATGCATGCGCTTTTCATAGTCCGCGTAGCCTGCCAGCAGACTCCTCAGACGCAGGGGGAGCTGTGATACCTCTACCACCCGAGGAGGCACCGGCTGGCAGCCTGTGTGCTGACGCCGTAAATAATACGGAACAGCCCCAGAGACTACCTGAAATGTCGGATGAAGGAAGTGCATCACTCTGCAGAAACCCAACCCAGCGTCTGAGACTAAATAACCAACAGACGGGCGCTCCTAGTATGCAAGAAGCACAGCAGCAACGACCCAACGAGGTTCAGCAGCAACAACAGCAAGCGCCAGATATGTCCGTTGAGCAGCAGCAATTACTACCGGAGCAGAGGCAGTTTGCTATGGGTAGCTCGGAGGCAAGCGCCTTGCGTCGGCCTTCTCCGCCAAACGAGAGTGAAGGCGGGTGGATTCGCGTGGAAGAGCCTTACAGGCAGGCCACAGAAGCAGTTAACAAGGAAAGTCAGACTACTTGCTTCCCGTATCAACCATCTGCCATGGCAATGGATGCTCTTCCGTCTTTGCCTCGCTCTTCCTCTCGGACGTCACGAGAGCAAGTCGCTCGCTACCCAATTTGTATCGGCAGTGCCACCCAAGCTGAGGAGGGCACCGGCGCCGAGCACAACAGCATAGGGTCGATCACTGGAATGGTCGATGGAGAGGCAAGCGAAGCAGACGGTTGGGAAGCCTCCAGCTTCCCCACAAGTTGCACGGGGACAAAGCCCGTCCAGGCAGACCGGAAGGGTGCGTTTGCTCGCCTATCCCTGTACGCCAGATCCGTAGTTTGTTCGCTTACTGATAGTCTCGGTTTGCAACAGAAGGAAGACCCCTCAAATTCAAGCGGAGCAGACGATTATTCGGAAGCTTCTGCTTCCCAGGCAGAACTGAGTGGGCGCGAGCACCAGGGGAAACGGGGGCTAAGGCGTAGAGAAAGATTGGTGCAGGGCTTGCTTGAGTGGCACCGCTGTATCCTTGAGATGTATGGAGGGACTGTTGAGGACATCACAAGACTCGCTTTGCAAGTTCTGCCTGCCCATGCAACAGGTGACGAAAAGGGAGCAGCTGGTGTTGCCATACCGCGCCGTTTCCTGCGTAGGAGCTGCTGTGACTACTACGGCTGCTGCCGCTGCTGGGAGCAGTCCTTGCACGGAGTTTTAACTTGTGCACTGATGTTTTGTTCGCCTTTCAGATGATCAGAGTGAACGCCGTTTCCTTGTAATTCAGGGGCTTTTCGACGTTTTCTGTCTCTACCGCTCCCACTTCCTCTCCCCTCCAGGAGAGCTGCTACAGGCTGAGGCGTTGCACCACCAGTGGAAGCTTCGCAGGGAATGCTCGTCAGAGACTGGTGGACTTTCAGCTCTAGCAGGCATTTGCCATGCCCCTGCGAAGCCTGTGCGTGACTGGCGGCCCGTGAAAGTGGGGGCAAGTACTTCAGAAGACCTGCCCACCTCCGTCCGGGTGGTACTTTATGGAATGATTTGTCTTGCATTGAAGATCATCCGCGCGTTGCAGCTGTTGCTGGAAGTCAGTGCCCTGCGACGAGGAGGAGAAGGCCCGCGTTTTGCTCTATGTCTTCGGCTGGAGTTGCTTAAACTCATTCTTAAGCTGATGCTCCGTTCCCTGACTCCCTTCGCCTTCTACTGCGACGAGCAAAGCATATGCCAGGCCCTCGGAACGCAAAAGGAGAAACAGGTTCGTCTTATGCAAGTTTTCGTAGAGGGAGTGCTCTTCTATAAGCCATTTTGCACGATATTTCCATTAAAGTTGAACATAGCACTTCGAGGCTCTACATCAGTCGTACCCGGTCATGAAATGATAGGAGCTTGCTGGCACCATAGTCATGTGTGTCGTGCATTCCGTAGATGATCTCCGATAGTGAAAAGCTGCAGCCCTTCTACGGTCGGCGCACTGGCAGGAAAATACCGCCCCTTCCATCTGCAGCTCGCCAGTACGCCGGGCAGACCGATTTGCTTCTCGAGGCAGTTGTGCTCATAGATACTGGCGCTGGCGTAAATTCTGTTTGCATATGAGGCGTGGCGCATGCCACCGAGCCGTTAGGTTTTGTCTTCCATCTCCGACGTTACTGTTCCTATGCTGTGCGTCCGCAGCAGTAATCGTATGATACTGTTGGTTTTGCTGCGAATTTGGTGATTGATGGCTTCTTCCAGTCTTGTTGGCGTGTTCTCAGAGTAGCCGAAGATCATCACGCACCGCATGCTACAGCTGCGGAACAACAGATTCCTCGGCAGTGGGCGCTTCTCGTTTTCGTGTGGCTCTTCAATGAGCTGAAGGCCAGTGCCTCACCGAGCCGTCTGCGACTTCTTTTCAATCTCCTGCGCTCCACCGCGTGGAGGTACTCTCTTTTTGCCCTGTACCGCCGGAGTTAGTCCGTTGCTATCTGGTGACTACATAGTACAGGCCGTTGTCAGCGCACCTTACCCGCTTTCGTGTCGTCTGGATAACTCGGTGTTTTGAGGACAACGCATGTCGTGAGTAATCACTTGTGGCAGTGTCTGATACGATTCACAGGCCCTTCCTGGCGGAGGTCCTGTATCATATTCGCCCGTTTATTCACCTCTACCTTTTACGGCGGGCCAGGAACCGCAAGTCGTGGACTCCGTGGCTCGTAGCCATCTGTGAGCTGCATGAGGCTGCATGAGGCTCCTTTCTCCACAGTTTCATATTTGCTCTGTTTGTAACAACGTCGATGACACAACGTAGAGTAGCAACAGCTGGGACTCGAGCACTGCGAAGGGTGGAGGCGGCGGCTTTGTTTATTGTTTGCCATTGCGAAAGTGCTGTGGGCTTGTGCAGTTATCGAGGCGAACTCTATTTCACTGTTGCATGGGTCTCCCCAAGTAATGGAGAACCTTTCGCCTGTTGAGGCTGCAGAGCTTCACCGTCGGTGAGTGGGTTTCGTTCATTTCTTGTCTCTGCTGTTCCGTGAGCCTGCCCAAGCTTACGCGGTATCTGTGTTGCTTTACTTGCAGCCTAACGGGGCTGCCGTACGCTCTCCTGCGGCCTCCTTTTTTCGACAAATTCCTTGCGCGACCTGTCGAGGCCATTGACTTCGTGGTGCGGCGTGTGCCGCTTCTTAACCATTTCAAGTGAGCCACAATCGTTTTGCGTAGCTCCTAACGCTGCATGTATCCCTGCGAAGAGGTGTTGCTGAGGCTTGCATTTTGTAAGTACGCAAACCAGTGCGTTTGGATATTGTGGATAGTGGAGAATCCCCATCCGCCGTCTTTTCGTATGCAGCCTGTTCTGCGTATTTATTCATTTGTGGGGTTCGGTACAGTCGGTGTGGTTCCTTGTGTGTGTGCGCCCTCCCGCAGTGTTTTGGATGCATTCCTTGCCTACAGAGATCTATACTTCACCACTTCCAACACCTGAAAACGCGACTAGAGTGCCTCCAACACACAAAGTCGCCGTTGGAGGGCCAGTCTCCTGTAGTTGGTGAAGCGGGCTTACCCGCAAAAGCAGCTGGGCGTTTCCAACAAATTCTCTTTGTAAATGCATTCCTTGGCAACCAGTGTACAGCGAGAGTCCAGTGTTCACTTCTCCAACATCCCAGTATGAAGAGAACGAACCCCTCTTCAACGTTTTCTCTGGTGGTTTTTCGAGCTGCACTGTGCTCAGTTGTTGCTCGCATATGCTGATGCATGGCGGTAGTGGAAGTATCCCCTACCAACATATTTGCCGTTTATAACTAGCGAAAACCACTAGAATTCACTTATGGCCGGCAATGGCCCGACGAGTACGGTAGTGAACAAGTGGCATCATCACTACTGGTGACCAGTGGGTTGGCGTCTTGCATGGGTGCGTCTTCCTGTCTGCTTGCTAGAGTCGTCTTCATCTGAAAAAGGTTGAGTAGAGCTGAGCAGCAAGACTGAAATGAGTGAAAATCCGAAGCTTGCGCAGATTGTGCCTGTGCGACGCTAGTCCAGGGGTGGGCAGCAGCGCTGAGGTCCCCCCGATTTTTTGTTACTACGCAGCAAAAAAAAGCAACCTAAACTATTGGCAGCTGATACTGATGGTAGTTACTCGGTTGGCGCCAAAGCAAGGTGTACTGTAGATCTCATGCTTATGGGTGGTGAAGCTTGAGGGAACCACTGGGAACTGGAGGGGGTAAGCTCCCGTTCCTAACTAGAATCTTAGTTTTTGGTGTACTCAACGTTGGAAATCCTCTTTTTTCAGAAGTAATCATACTGTAACAGCACTTCACTACTATGCGAGATGCCGGGCGTCAGGCAAAATAATGGTCTGTCTGTCTTGCCCCCCAGAAGCCCGGTGGTATGCTCCACGGCGGGGCACAGACGGATCCCCGTATTTTGCCAGCTACATGACCTTCCAATGTTCAAAAAGGTGCTTTAGTGATAAAGGAAGTCAAACTGTGGAAGTTGAATGTTGTTGCTCCCCTACTTTTTCTAGGCTGGAGGTGAGGGAGAGCAATGCAAACTGGTCCGGTGCTGGTGCAACTCGATGGGGCTTCTGACACTGTAGCATTGGCCTTCTTCTGATGTTGTTCCTCCCAAGCGCAGTCTCACTGAATCAAGGGCGCATTATACTCTCAGGAAGGTAGCTTTCAGGCCGTCGGGTGTGCGGAAAATCTATTCAAATAGAGGCTTACGCGGGCAGCCGGGTTCACCGCAGTGCAGTCATGGACTGTTCGTCCTTTTTATACTTTAGGAATGGGGACAGCACAATCGAAGAAACACGTTGGCAGGCTCGGCCTTAGAGGATCTCGCATAACCAGTTTGCACGAAAGGCGATCCTGGCTTGTAGCCGCGGGTGACCAGAGCAATCATTGTGACTATCCGCATGGAAAGCCCTTTCGGCGATCGTTTAACAGGCACAGGGGGCGTCGTAGGAGAGTCCGACGGGCTTGGCTATGCTATAAGGGGCGTCTTCCGCCGCCAGCACCCAGCGACGGCCAACTCGGTAGCTCGGTGCCGACCCCGTGGCTTGATATGCCTCAGGGCCGGAATGCTGGCTTTTTGCAAGAAGGGCCTGTCGCACATGCTCAGAGCCTGCCAAGCAAAGGTTTAACGGATGCCGAAGGCGGCTCTTCTGGAGCAGCAAATCTCGACTGCGCCGGTGACCACGAGGAGTTCAGAGCTCGCCCTTGGCAGATTTCAGCTTACTCTCAAAAGGGGGGCCCGCTGTGCACAGCTTACGCAAACTGTTTGGAGTACATGGAGGAGGACGTAATTGCTGCTCTGATTCACCACCCTCTACCGAATGAGGTGTGTTGGTTCATCTTAAAGCTGCCCACAGCATGTTGTGGTGCAAAGCATCTCGCCGGCGTGGTTCCATGTGACTATTCCCTTTATAAAGCACTGAAAAGAAAATGATCATCAGTAGTGTGCAATGACATGCTGCACCCTGTTTCTAGGACTTGTCTGTCTCCTACTACTTCAGGGACTCTCCTTGATATATAGGAGCTGCTGTTCCCTACCTCTACCAGTGGAGCCGACTCTAGAACCCAGTGCAGACGTACTAGGATATGTATATCCTGGGACGTTCTTCAAGGTAATCGTGATCTGTTGAGTGGAAGACCCCGAAAAAAGCTCAAACGCCGCATCCGATGATGCTTTACGCTCCCCAACGCGCGGCGTAGAGGGAACTCCAGCCTCTGTCACGTGGTTGTAGTGTGCAGCGCTGAGTAATATTGAAATGCACCACAGTGGGTTGCATGTTCCACAGGTCTTCAAGCGGGAGCCGAGTAACCGCTTTGAGTGCGTTGCTTTTCGCCTGCCTGACAATGCTGATGTCTTGCCTCAGGTGCTTGACATGAGAGCTTACGCTGCACAGACGTCTCATCTGCTGCGCCTGAAGACAACTGAGGGTTGGTTAACGGGGGCATCCCTGCACATGATCCGACTAACGCAGCCTGCTCGTGTTTCTGTTTGGAGGACTGCACAAGATGAGGTTGGAGCCTCCAAGTTTAGGCATCGTGTAGCTGGCTTCGCGAAAGTTTCCGCTGCAGTTGCAAATCGGCAACCAGCTTGGGACCCTACGTCCAGCCAAGCGCGTGTCAAGGGCAGCTCCGCTCCGGATAGCACTCACCTAGCGGTTGATGGGGATGCAGAAAAAGATGGATTAGTAGAACTTGAAGATGCCCTGTCGACCGGTTGGGGATCTGTTTACGCTTGTCGTGCCACCCGCTTTCTCAGTTTTCAGGAGTGTGCTAGGCTGGCGGAGGAGCGCACGAGCTACAATAGCCTAGGAAAGCTAGTGCCGGCCTCATCCATGCACAATCTTGAGGCAGCTCTACAAGAGGCTACCAAGTCTCACCTTTCGAATGCCGGCAGCTTGCGCGTGGTGTCCGCTTCATGCTTCAACAGAACGCAAAGCATGAACTCCGATTCTAGCAGAATAGTCACTCGAAGCAGCATTCGCGTTGGAGGCCTGAACCCACTGGAGCATTCCTTCATGCTATATCGCGTTGTGGGTGGTCGTGCTATCCCTGTAAGGTGAGCTCACGCTACAGCTCATTTGTGCTTGTCAGTCTGAAGCAGCAAACAGCCTGCTCTGAAAGGGGGGTAAACAAGGTTTTCTTTACTAGAAACTTCCGACGGAAAGGCCTGCTTGTGGTTGGGACAGCGCATATGATAGAGCCGAATCGTGCATTGTGCTGCAGCGCGACTCCCCATCTTGGGTCCCCCATAGTTGGGCGCCTCTTACGCGGGCAGGTCTTCCCTGTTCTCGACGCCTGCTTAGTGTCATGCATCCCGTCATGTGGTGGCCTGGAAGCGGGTGAGGACTGTATGGTGGCGGGGCTGGGTACTTCAGGGCTTGGCGAGAGCGATAAGCTTCATGCGATGCCCGTTGCTCGCCTATGCGGTAAGACGGCGAAGAGGAATCTATGCTACTTCACTCACAATAGGCGCGTACACCTTCGCGTGTGTACGGATGAGGGTTGGGTTACTCTTAATGGGCTTATAGAGCGAGTGGACGAGTGCGAGGTTGCGTATGAGCGTCCAGTTCTCTACGAAATAGTCGGTACGTTCGTCTTAAGATAGGGGTTTTCATTCTGCAAGTACTCATGTTCCAACCCTTCTCAGAACGAGGCTCAACAGACTGCAGGGGTACGCCATGATCAACTTTCTTCTGTGTTTTCTGCAGCGGATGGTTACTTGGTAAATGTGAGGCCTGCACTTGAGATTGAGGGGCAGGTCCGCCGCACTCTGCCCCCAGCTACTCTAGTTGAAGTATACGAAAGGAAAATTAACGCAGAGGGGCTTGTGAGGCTGAGGTAGGCCAGCAGCACTGGCTCTCTCGAGCTTATTTGCGGTAGGGCGTTCCCATAGGCCCCATTAATGGCGGCGAATCCGCATGCCCCGGTACACATAGTGGCTAGTTAACACTTCCGTGTCCAACACAGCAGATATGTTGGGCACGTGACCCTTCCTGCTCCTCCTCGTGCTGCAGGCTCGTTGATGGATGGATAAATGAGCGCAGAAAGAGCTCAGGGGAGACAGGATTCCTCTTCGCAACCAGAGCAGCGGATCGGCGAACACAGACACTTACGCGGCATCTCATGGCTGTCGGCTTGTTGCTGCCTGCTTTATGCAGCAGTGACCATCGCGTCAGCACAGCAGCGGCCTCTTGGGTAGCGGCGAATGCCGCGCAGTCCGCCATTGCCTCCTCAGCCTTAATGGAAGCAGTGGACACAGCCCTGGTGAACTCAGCAATAAGACCGTGTACGTGCTGTTACTGCAAAGGCCACCAAGGGGACAGAGCGTCGCTCAACGCTAAGTGGCCACCATCGGTATGTAGTACAATTAGCCCGGGGCGTCCCGATCATTGTCTTGCTTCGTCAAGGGAAATTGTGTCGCGTGTAAGCGAACCTGCTGAAAGGAGAGCCAGCGGGGTGACGGGCAGCGACGACCCACGGCAATGCATTGCAGGCCTCTCTGGGATGCATGTGCTCAAACCTTTGGCTGCCAAGGACTTGCTACTGGCAGAGTCCCCAGTCATTAAATCCCCAAGCTCCTTGGGGTCAGTGTTGCATACTTCAGGACCCCGAGGAGGGGAAGATGACAGAAGCAACACTTTCGCTTCAGTGGGCTCAGGAGGGGGCTCAGCCACTGCTCCTGCGCATATGCGGGGTAATGAGTGCAGTACGGGGCGCTGCCACAGAGGAAGATGTTTGTTTGAAGACGTGGACTCCATACTTGAGGTCTCTGATAACTACTGTGTTGGCAGTGAAAATTGCGAGAAGCATGCAGCGCCTTGGATTAGTTTGTTTTCTCTAGTCAAGGTACTATTACATTTTATCTCGTCAGCTTCGTTACTCCAGTTGCTTAATTACAGGATCTCTATGCCTTGGTTGTTTTACTTGAAGCCGTCACGTGACGGAGGGCTAATATTTGTCGATTTCCTTCGCAGGCTGCTTCGGCTTTACCGGGTGAGCTAGAGGTGCAGACCATGCGCTGTTTTCAGTGCTCGAATATCCAGGAAGTCATGTTCGAATTGCTCAGCGGAAAACCAGGCGACGTTGAGGAAGCCGGTGAACCTGTCAGGAGCTTCAGCATGCCTTGTACAAGCAGGGAGGGAGGCTCCCTGGAGTTTAGTTGGGGAAAAAGCCAGCTACAGCACAGGCAAAGCTCTATTAGAAGTATGGGTGCAAAGACTGGGACCAGGGCCAGTGGACGCAGCTTGCGGAAGTGTCGGACGAATATGCCTCACTCCTCCCTTTTCCCACAGCCACATGCTGTACGTTGTTCTTCGTCCCTGCAGTTTAGCATGGGTCGGAGTTTAAATTATGAGAACGCCAGAGCAGTACTTTCTCCTTCGGATATCCTCTACCAGTTCTGCGTCGCGGCGGTAAGCACCGAAGGGGATGTACAGTTGCCACAGCTCGGACTTCCACTGCAGTTCACCCTTCGTTCCAACCAATTTCCCTAAGCTGTTTGATTCCAAAGGAATTAATGGGATCTCTCTCGCCTATCTACGCGTTCAGGGATATCTTAGCTGTGCGTGGGCGTGTGTGAGTCGCTGTTGCCCGTTACACAGGTATACTCTTCACTTGCAGAGCACAGAGAATCTGTACCACCCTACACGGTGTACCGCCCGCCCGTTGGCAGCTTCGTTTCTCCATCGAATTATGCGCCGATATCCGTCGGGGCGTCACAGCAGCAAGCCTTGCTGCAATCCTATAGGCCATATCTGGTGATGAAGGATGGAAAGCTGACACTGGGCAGCCCTAACCGGTTCAGTAGCTTTTCCTTCCACCAGCCACCCATTTTTGTGGTGAGTCTGCACCGAGAATATGAAAAGTATTGCGGGGAAATCTTCTGGCGTGTTATAAGTCGTCTTACTTTCTGTGCCTGTTGTGCGTGCACTGCTGGATTGCAGATCCACAAAGTTGAAAGAATTTGCAATGGACTTTTGGTACGGCGTTACCTTCACGAAAGAAGCATGCTTTTGTTGATGAATGTGAACGGCGGCTGCAGCCTGGATGAGGCCATTCCCAATCCTATTCTGAAGGTTCGAGTGCATCCAACCCAGGCAAGTTCGCTCATGCATGGAGCACTGTCACATGCATGTTTGCGATTATTCATCGAGTCCGTTTAGTCACACAACTATCGGTTATACCTCATTCGTGTTGCAAGCAGTGATGGCACTTCGTGCAGAAGACATGGCGTATCTATCGCTGTTGTTTTGGACAGCAAAGCCGAAACAGCCTGCAGCCTCTGTATATTGCATTGCAGGCCAATTTGAACGAGTATTTTCTCTTCCATGGATGCACCGAAGAACGTGCAGGATTGATAGCTCTCTCTGGGTTTGATTTTCGCAGAGGAGGAGAGAATGGAGGTATTTAGTTGAGCGTTTGGTTGGAAAGAGTGAAGACGTTAGTTTCTGCACTTATCCCAAAACCTAGGGCACTGGTTGAGCCTAGTGGGATGTGGGGGCTTCGTGCTGTGCTTTTTTTCTTAGGAAAGCTGTTTGGCATAGGCACATACTTTTCTCCTCATGCAAGTAAAGCGGACCTGTATACGCGCCCCAACGACTTTTCGGCGAAGGCAGCTGGACTGTCGCCACTTTCGGCCGTCACATTTCGCATCTCTTTGCCAACTCTGCCGTTCCTTCCTGCTCGCATTACCCAGCCACAACCAGTAGGAGTGTCCACAGCTTCTGCTCTACTCACGAGCATGCCAAATAATTTGGGTACTGGGGGAACCTCGGGGGGGACGGTTCGTCGTAATGCCATCAAAACCTGTGGTAATCTTCGATTTGGCAAAGGCGGTTGGCTGGCCTCGGGGAGGGGAAGCGCGAACGCTGCGCGTTCTGCGGCAGTCAGCTCTGCACCTCTGATCACTCCAGATGCGGCTTCAAAGAAAGACAAGGAGAGGGGACGCTTCCGAGCAGTATGCGCAAAACTTACCAGGCAAGGCAGCGGGGCTAACGCAACTCGGTCGAAGGAGTCCTCGGCATCTGCTCAGGCATTAAATAGCCAAAAACATTCAACTTCGTTGCCGGCGAGCTTGCAGCAGCGGCTTGACACAAAGACGCAGCAGGCTGGAGCGAAGGGACTTCAATCAAGCGCAGTATCGTCCCCCCCGCAGCCTATCATGCGTTGCTTGCTGCTGGCACGGGTCTGTCTGGGCGAAGTATATAAGGCTCTTTCTCCGATGCCGGATGCGCGCATGCCCCCCAACAAGCCGAATTCCGCAACAGCAAAGCTAGCGTATGACTCAGGTAAATGGCGTGCAGAGTATTCTTAACATTTGGCCGAGCGCAGAAGTCGCTCCCTAGAGCTGAGATGACTAGGTCAGCACGCATACTGCAATCCCGGTCCGAATTCGAAATTGAGGCAAGTCAGTGCACACCAAATGCAGAAGATGCCTGGTGTTTGCTGTTTGCTGTTTTTTATGTTGTGTTGAAATGCTCGCAGTGATGGCGGAATGCCGCACACGAGGTGGTGTCGTGGACGGAGTTGAGTTTGTAGTTTTCGAAAGGGCTCAGGCTTTGCCAGAATTCGTCATAACGTATTCGCACGCCGCACATTGCCAATGCGCCGAATGCCATCGGCAGGGTCTCCAATAGTCCCAGACTGCTGAGAATTTACATACAGAAAGTGTTATTTTAAATGGCTACAACCATAAGTGTAGCTGTTCCCGTGGAGATGGTACACTTTCCAGAGGTCTTCATCCTGGGTTTTGAGCTAAGTTCGCTTTGCTTCCGGGTGCGACTGGCTTTGTAGTGCGCGCTGCAGCAGCAACTTGCGTATCATGGAGGTTGAGCCAAAAACGGCAGAAAACAGCTGGGAGACACTAAGCGTGCGGTTTTTCGCGTAATGTATTTACCATATCGATGGCAGTGTACATTGAATAGATGTGTCTAGGTTACGTACTCCGTAAACTCAAGCTTTTTAGCGCCCATGAACGTACTCCACCTCTGTACTACCTCTGTACCATGTCGCAATTCAAGGCAACTTATTCCGGTTTAAAGGTAGGTACGGATACCGACTTTGGTTGTCGCTCGCTGCTGCGGGGAGCGGTGTTGGGAAGACATTAGAAAGTGCCGCGTGCTGAGGGGTCATACGGCCCATCCCAACGCGCGCGGCGCAGGATATGGATTAGTCAATACCCACTGCCATTTGCCTCTTGCTCCTCTCTCCTGCACGTGTGGTGCAGAGGGGAAAGATGCCATGGTGCTACGCTGGCTCATGTACCAGCACGCACAATGCACTGTGCCACATGACTGCTAGGGCGGACTCAAGCCAGCTTTGCGCCTGCACAGCCCTACAGCATTAACTGCGTTATCAAACGGTCGGCTGGCGAAGGAGATCGGTCTCCGCGAACAACCAGCCCACAAATTAAGAACAAGCCCCGCCGACCGTCAGTAATCGTGCTTTCCCTGCTCACGAGCTTAAAGGGGGGGGGGGGGAATGGAAACACTGTCGCGCGAGTTCACTGCCCGTCTTCAACCGCTTCTTCAGCGAAAACATAGTCAGCAGGCAAAAGCCCTTTGTTCCGAGAGGCGGCAACCATGTAGCAAATCTTCTGCTGGGCGTTGGGAACGTCCAACTCGATCTGATTGAGGAACAAGAGCAACACAGGCCAGTGCAGCATTTCATGTCAAACGTTGCGTCACTGCTTGTAGTGCGACGTTTGGAACCATCTGCATTCAGCATCATTAAGTGTTGGTAACTGACTTACGTCTGGGAGCAGGTCTTTGATTTGTGCCAGCCCCTGTATGATACATTCTTGGTCGAGTTCGCCTAGCGCTCGTAATTGCTCGAGCAGCCCCACGACAGCTTTGGCGGCCTGCTCTGGATCCTTCGACCGTTCCATTGAAAAAATATAAGCCTTGCGGACAACCTCTGAATCCTGAGGTACCCACAAGCCCATCATCCATAAAACCCCTCCTTTTGCCGCATACTCCCCCCTGTCTTGGCAAGATACAAGCCCTGCTACAAACCGTTCCGTGCTGCGGTCGGATTGCTGCTCACCTGGTCCGGTGCTAAGTTCATATCTATGATTGCCTTCGCAGCCTCCGCAGCATCTAGCGTATCGAGGTACTTCCGGATGCAAGCTTTGAGTTCATGTTTGAAAATACGCGCCTCCCGCATGGTTGGGTCAGTCCCTGTCCAGATCTGCAGGTACACTTCAAATCACAGGGTGGCCTGCGGTGAACCAAGCCAGCTTGGGTGAAACACATTCAAACACGTGTGCAGCCGTCTCAGTGCACCATCTAAAACAACGGATAGCGTAATAGTTGTCACGTGCACACAGCAGGATGAAGCTCAGCTCCTTTTAACACTGCTCTTTCAGATACCTTCCTAAAGCGTTCACTCGCGGCCTTTCCTGGCTGCTCGCAAAGCCACTTCTGCGCCTTCTTAAGGACTTGCATGCCTCCACTTCCCCCAAAATGAAGCCTATACCTATCCCCCAAGAACGCTGGGGGCAGCAATTCGTCCACCACAGCCCGAGCCTGCATGCAGGTAGTGCACCGCTGGAATACTACAGCAAAAACTTGATATTCCGTTTGGGTTCACGATTTAAGACCATTTCATGAAGAAACTAAGTGTGGTTGCAGAACACGGTGTGGGAAGACTTTACCTAGCTCGTTACCCGACCTCTAGGAGAGGGATCAATACAGGGCCGTACGGTACACTACAGAAACCCTTACCAAACTCTTTGTCAGGAAGTCGTGGGCCTGGGGAACATCCAATGCAAGGTCATCAACTGCTCCAACGAGGCGAGAGAATCCGACCTGCAAGTCGTCCGGCTTCAATGTCTTCCCGTAGAGCCGATCCAAAATGTTACTAGCGAGCTCTCTGTCCCTGACAAACATAACAGACACAATCTACTGCCGCGTAGCGGTGGTACGAGATTCCACTGTCTTCCCAAATAAATTCGATGCCTAAAGCATACAAAGCCGCGTGCGTTCGAAGAATATGTAGGCAAATATTAAGTTGCGGGCATTAGAAGCTCCTGTGCGGACGGTCGGCACGGTGCAAACAGAGAGCGCAACTTCTCACGCCGCCCAGTACAGGACCGCCTGCTGCTTCTGGGTTAGCGGCAAGTGCCTAATGCGGAACTTGCATTTCTCACGATTCCCTGAGGAAACGCAACTAAACGTGTAGCATAGCGTCCTTACCTAGAACCTCTTGAATATGAAGCCACAACGAGCTTCGCAACAAATTCATGCTGGCAAAGTGGCTTGTCCTGCGCCTGGAGGAAAAGCTCAGCCTCCTGCACGCCTTCACTTTCGAAGACATCCTCCAGGAACTCAGAAAGGGCAGCTTTAAACTCTTGCATCCTGCGCAAGCCAGCATCCTCAAGAACGGGCGAAGGCGGTGGTTTTTCTTTCCTCACATGAATCATGTAGGCCCTTGTGCTACACAGAGAGGCGGACTGCCCCCTCATGTTGAAGTGTGGCTTACTGGCGCACTGCCGCCTGCACGACGATGTTGCTTGCCACTACAGCGGGGTCAAGCTTCGAGACGAATGAAGTGGGCAGACGACTGAGAACATCGGCGCCGATGCAGTTGTCAAGCAGTGCGCATTCAATGAACGCAAACAGTCGGCTCGCCACGTCGGGCACGTCCTGAACACAAAATACACGAGAAACGCAGGCGAATTTAGACTGTGCGCAAGGACAGGACAAGCACAGGCACCTGCTAAACAGTTTGGCTCGTTCCCGCCTTCAATTCTGCATGCGAACTGCACAAAGGCGACAGCGGAGAATCCAAACACACTCACCATTATCAACACAAATGCAAGCTTTGAAACGCATCGTTCCTATGTACCAGCCCACAAAACCACTTACAAATACTTCATCTCTTTCTACAGAAAGCATTTGCATTGACAGTGCTAGCCTACAAGTTCAATGTCATCCGCACTTTGCACAAGTTTTTCGAACGCCCTGCAGAGTTGCTGCCTCGTAAGGAGACCCTTGTCAGCAAGAAGTGCAAATTCTGCACTCATTCGCCGCTGGTCTTCGGTGCTCCTGTCAAGGGAGGCGCGGACAGCGTACACGACAAAGGCATCGTGGTAACACCGGCAATCCAGGGCTTGGAGCCGGGCGGCTAGATCGACCGAGTCCGCACACGCAAAGAAAGCTGCACGTAAAGGAGAAAATTGCTCGTTTCAGGTAGTCAAACGGGTCTGCTGATTTGAGCAAAGTGTCTCCGCTCAATCATGAGTATCTACATACATGTACACATACAGGTTCCGGAATGGGGCTCTATGCTCGTATATCAGCAAAAGGATGCCATGCTTACCCTTGAGCGTCTCATCAACGGCGGCGCGGAATTCGTCTGCTGTCTTCGGGGGACGTACAAGTGCTCCAGGCTCCCGTGATACGGAGAAGCAGCTCTGGTTATTTATCGTGGAGCGATAGTCGCACGCCTCTACTTCAATCACTTGATAGAAGCAGTTGTCGTCCTGCAGTGCAGGTCAATGAGATAACTGGTGGAACAACTGAAGAGCCAAACTGCACGGTCACGGTCCTTTGTCAAAGCACTATTTTTGCGAGGCAATTTTTCTGACAATCTGTAACGTAGATACAGGCGCCCTAGCTTACTTCCGTTTCGCTGTCGTACATGGGGTCGTTCGTGTCCATAGGGACAGGTTTGCACTCCAACTGGTCGCGAATCATATCGCCCTTACGGTTCAGCAGCTTGTCCGCCATCATTGCAAAGCACGAGCAAGCCGCACTTTTCTCCTTTGCCCCTGACTATCCTGCTGCCTTCTTAGGGACTCGAAATGCAACAAAGGGCGGACGCCCTCAATAACAGCACGGCTGTTAGGCCGGGAAGAGGCCTACAGGGTGGTTGAAGGGATATGAAGATGAACTCCTTATAAATACCTCCCCTCCCCTTCAGTTTTCGCCAGCTTGAAAACGCTGCCTTTGAATTAATGGGGTTTTCAGCCCTTCACAGCTCAGTGAGGTAAACTGCTGCCGTGGAAGTCCACTGAACGCGAACGGAACTAGCAACGCCTATACTAAGTCCGTTATGTTCTCTTCTCTCCCCTGCAAAGTATCCACGCACTACCAGCCTGTGCTCCCAGCACAGCTGGAACTCGCCTGCTTTTGGCCAATCTCGTACGGTGCTGTTTCCAACTGGTATGCGCCACCCAGTCTCGGAGATCGGCCTTCCTTGAGGGCTCTTCCGTGTGTACTACACAGCAAAACACCTGAAACGGGGAGCAGAGATACAGAAAACGAAGGAAAGGAAATCAAAGTATTGAAGGAGCCGGTTCATGCACAAAGCGCTGCATGCCCAAGAGGCGATGCGGAGGTGACAGAGAGTAAGATGAGGACGAGCAGCGGTGGTCTCTTCCTGTGAGGTTGGAAATGCTTCGCAGCTTAAAAGGCAAAAAAGACTCAATGAAGAAAGGGGAGAACGAGGATGTGGCTCTCACCCCACGGCCCCAAGCCCCAGCCACTATTCCTTGGCTGCCTCCGGGCACAAACACCGAAATGGAATGCCAGGCATAGCAGCAGCTAAAATGCGCAGTAAAATCGGGGGGTGACTGAAGAATTGGGGAGGCTTTAGTTGACGCTTTAAGAAAGCGTATCCAGGAACAGAAGTACCGGGCATTTACCAGTAGTCCACTGACACACGCTGTGGCTTCTGGCCGGCCGACGTCACTAGTCTGTTGCGGCGCTGCATTTGTGAGACTGCAGTTGCACAATATGGGTTTAAACTTGTGGCTCGCTGGCGATGATACATTGCTAGTAGATCCGATGGGTGGTCCTGTGCTAGCTTGCTTACGGGTAGTGCTATTCAGACTAGTCGTGTGAGGAGGGTAGGACTGTTTGTGCCCACGGTCTAATATAACTGGTTTTTGTTGAGAAGGCCCAAGGAAGAGTCGGGCATGTTTGGTTGTGTCTCACTTTGTTTTTGTACATGGTGTTGGGGGCCAAGCGGATGGGAGGAGCTTTCTGTATGCTAGACTCTGCAGCCTTTACTAACCTGCGACGTGGCCGCTGCGAACGCCATATAGTTCCACTTACTCAAAGAAATTCTTCAGTCTCTGGCGAAACCTTTTCCAGGGGCGCGACTGGACAAACCAAGGCTGGCATGTCAGGGGACACATCTGCGCGCCTGAAAGGTTCTTTGTTGTCCAGGTACACTTTGCAGTGGTAGGCATGACGGAATGATAAAGAGGAGGCCGGACGCAAGCGCTCCAACTTATGAACGTAACTTTTTTTGAAGTTGCAGATGATGCTGGATTGCTGCCCGTTGCTCTGCTCATGCTGTTGATCCGATGTTCCCAGATTCGTAGAGGAGGGGAGATAACACTACTCCTTCAGCCCTGCCACCCAACCAGTCGCTTTCGGCCCACTAATTAGATTCCATAGGCTTTCGTGGTCGGTGGATGGTAAACCCGCATAAATAGTCACTGTAGCAATTGCCAAGAGTTGAGGTCGAAATTTCGTCCAAAAATCATTCCAAGGGCACAGGTGGGCTTAAGGCTTTGCTCACCAACGGATATGTCCCGTCGCGCCGACAGAGGCGTGCGTTTAAACCTTCAAAATAAAACACGATGCTTTATACAGGGGACTATAGCCTCTGGAAGCGTAAAGCCTGGTGCCTTCTCATGCATCTGCCACGACCTTGGCCAGTAAGTCCAAGCCAATGTTCTTTGGACGGTTAGCACTTGCGCAGGCGTTTCCCCAGAAAAAAGACGCTCATATTTCGATTTCCACACAGCCACTGGTGCGGCAGAGAGTCAGTCTTGTCGGCACGATAGCCTGATCCTGTGTGACCTGTGTGTAGACGACTATAGCAATGGAAAACTACAAGCAACGACCCTGCTCCGCCGCGTACACCAGAGCACGGTGGCCGGCTACTCCGAACAAAACTGCCCTTGCCCGGTGCAGCATCTAGGCGTAGCTTCAAGTAAGTTGTCCCGAGAAGATCCCTTCTTGGGATAACTCAACTAGGGAGAAACATGATGGTTCATCAGCCCGCTCTCTGTCGCACCCTGTTGCTGGCTGACCCGCCAATCGCCGACTATCTTGGCGGGAACAAGCATGCTTCTCTAGAATGCTCAACACTCAAACAGAAGAAACCAATGTTCAGAATGTACTTCTCGAAAGACCTCGGGCATAGCCCCTGACACGGGGAACGACGCCTTCCATCCTCAGTCTGGAACCTACACGGGGATGCACGCACAAGGCTGTCCTTGCGAGCGCCGTGAACAGGCCTGTTTCCCTCCTTACTGCAGTTCCCACGCACATGCATAAACCGACAAAATTACCAGCGTGTAAAACAACTAGTCATGCTTCTGCCCAGTAGGACCTATTCTGCCAAGGATAAACAAGCAGTGTAGTCGAGATCATGCACGGAACCATTTCTCAGGCGTCCGATTCCAAGAAGATCCTCTCTCTGCAGGGAACAACGTTAGTCGAGCGCAGACCAAATATTGAGCAAGACAGTGGAAACTTAAAGTCGTGGTAACTTGAGCTCTGCAGTTATGATCCCAGCCTTCCCACGGGCTGTCATCAGTTCACCCTTGGACTACCCGGGACAAACCAAGGACAACCGTAGCTTTTTTTGTGCCTCTGTACTCTTCAACAGCATATCCTGAGCGTGTTGGGCTGCATGAAAAGGAAAAGAGCAAAGGAGCTGTCGGAGTCCTCTCAACGCTTAGGTTTCAGGGCCGGCAAAGCCCAGTTAAGCCGAAGAGTAGAGAAGCCATCCTACACTTCTTGTTCTTCGTGTCTGCAATTAGCACTGCGGCTGGTGGGGAGAGAAGCACATCATGAGTTGCAGCATTCCATGTTGCAATATCTGCTACATCCGAACCCTGCAAACCTGCCCAGCACACCCAAGGCCTATTTCGATGCGTGTACTAAAAGCGTACGCAATTCTGAAACACTTACTTGAACCGCAGTAGCCACGAGGCACGCAAAGAACGGTACATTTACCAACGTTTTTCACCCTATTACACTCTGCAACAAACCCCAATAGAGAGCGCAGCAGTGGACAGAGAAGGCGGGTGGCCATATACTCGCGCACTCGGATACGTCTTCAAGAGAACTGTATGTGCGCACTTGCTAAGATGTGGTGGTGAGCCTGAACTGCTTGCATGCTTCTACCCGAAATACGAGCATACGCACAACGCTCTCCAACACCAACGCGAGCCATAAGCACTACGGCTCAGAGGGCTCCCCAGTGAACTTCTTCATTACACACCTTTTATCCTCCATATAAAAGAACTGGATATTTTACAAAATTTCAAATGTCTTCTGGATGCACTGCTTTTCCCGCAGAGGACGGACCGTTCCGACTGGCGGAACCACCGTGTCTAGTTATCCCCGTGCCGCCGTCCCTAGAGTGTAATGCGTTGTCCAGCTAGAGCAATACAGAAAGAGGCGCTTCAAATTAAGTCGTTTCAGGCAATGAAATTACTTGACATGCACCCGAAAATCCGCTTTTCCCGCCGTGCCCGTCCCCGCCACCGACCCTGGAAGCCCCAGCGTTGTCGTTGCCTCACTCCCAGCAGGGTCTGTACCTAATTCTTGCAAGGTCCCATTGTAGTTTTGGCTCATTTGCTTTGCTGAAGCAAGCAGTTGTCACTTTTGTTGCTATCCCGAGCGCTTTGTGGTGATCGGCACTTCTCGCAGGGTGGCGGCTGTGTCTCAGGTGTCTGAGAGGGGCCCCTAGCCCTGCAGGGGCCTCGTCTTCCAATCAAAATGGTGGATTCCCCGTTTGCTGAGGAGCCGCTATCTGCAACTCAGCCAGCAACTACACCCGCCGGTTTTTCCATTGGGGGGGCCCCAAGAGGGGATGCCGCTCCATCTGTCCCTACGACGCTCGTCGTTGAGAGGGACAACAGCGCTGTCTCTCCAACCGCAGCCCTTAGTTTCCCTTTGAAGGCATTCGTGTCGACTATTAGCAGCATTAGAGAAACACAGGAGGGCACGGCAGCTGACCTATACCCCTCCCTCCTTCCCCTGCCAGCCTCCACGTCTGTGACTCACGTGCGCAGATCTTCTGCCCACAGTGGGGCCTCAATATCACCATTCCGTCTCACTGTCAAGGGCCTTCCGGATGACGGAGAAGGAAAGCATAGCAGTTCCTCGAAGGAGTCCATGGTCCAAGGCACCAGTGAGAACGTAGATCCCGTACAACTCCAAATGGAGCAGCAGCCGCAACAACAAGAAGCAGAAGCATCCCTGAAGAATGGGGGGTCTTCATTTGTAGCTTCTAGTGTGGAGCGCCTCGCATCATCGGGTCGTTCCAGTCCTCTGCTGGAAGAGGTAGCCTCGCCTCGACCACTTGAAGCAGCGCCTGTCACCAGCTCTACTCGTGCAGGGCAGCATGAAGCGGCGGCATTTATGCTTGAACAACGCATTGATGCAGCATGGCAAAAACATGTGAGATCCTGGTGTAGTACAACTAGCTCTGTGAACACTTCCATCTCGGACTTGAGATTGCGCGAGGAGACTCGACGCAACACAAAAAGAAACGCTTCCCCGCTTAGTGCCAGGAATCTACGTGCCCAGTTGCAGCGGCAGAGACAACAACGCTTCAGGAATAGCAGCAGCCCTCTACATCCTCAGCAGACAGTAGCGGCTGCCTCTGCCTCTGCTCCCACCACTCCCTTGCGGTTCCATGTAACCTCCCGGCCGCAGCAGCGAAGGGACGGCTCCCAAGGCGGCACGCCGCAGAGGACCGAACGTACAGGAGCAATAGCAGCTTCATCTGCAGCGACAGAAGCGCCCGCTGGTACAGCTGTCGCTGCGGCAGCAGCAACCCCAACTGCCGAGCGTCCCACCACAGGATGCAGTCCGGTGAGGAGCATCTTGAGAGTTGCCTCGGGGTCTGGGAATGCGAACAGTCTTTCTATTCGCCGTGTGGTCTTTACGCCTGTCCCTAAGTCTCAACGCTTGACTGCTGGTGAAGTGGGGGAAGCATCTTCACAGCTCGGCCAGAGGGGTGCTGCCGAAGGGGAAACCGCTCCGGGCATCTCTGCTACAGCACCAGTGGAGCCTGCAGGAACAGACGCGGATACGCCTGTGCCTGAGTGTGGCGAGCATCGATCATCCATGCGCCCAGATTCCGTCCCTACACTCGAACAGCAGCAGAATGAAGACGAGCAGCAGCAGTGCATCTCCGTCATCATCCCCACTGAACCTGCACGCCACTCCTGTGAAATCCTCAGGCGGGGCTCGGCAACTGACTCTCCCCACCAGCATCAGCAGCAACATGAGCAGCCACAGTCAGATGGGAGTCGTGATGAGTCTCAACAGTTGCAGCAGCAGCACAGCGAGGGTACCCAAGGAGATACGCCAAATGCGAAAATGCAACTGGGAGCTGAAGGTTTCCCAGTGGGTGTGGCTGCCACAGATGCAGCAGCAAGAACAGCAACAATGCACGCGGAAGCGCACGCGACGCGAACGGTTACGTTGGCGGAACCCGCATCTAAGTTAGTTTCGGCCATAACGACGGAACCAGCTGCGGATCTCGGCGTACGGTCTGAAGATACTGAGATAGCCATGAAAGTGCGTGAATCCGCACCTGCAGTACCAGAAGCAACGGTGGTTCATAGTGCCGCAGCAACGCCAGCAGAAGTGGGAACCTACGGCGGCCCAGAAGCGGGAACCAAAGAGCATAGTGCTGCACAGGTTCCGCGGGTCGCGTTAGCGACAGAAGTGCAACTATCTACGGGAGGGACAGCCAGCGAAGCTGAGTCTGCAGGACGGCCGTTCGGAGCTGAAATGAGCGATAATTCCATGGATTCTGTAGAGGCAGACGCAAATAGCGAAAGCGTTAGCTACTGCAGCTCTTCTACTCGTGTGTTGGTGGTGAACAGTGAAGGAGAGACGGAGTTGCTTCTTCGATCAGCTTCTTGCCTTGTTGCCCCGGCCCTTAGCGAACCTTTACACGCAGATCCAACTCCTCTACGGAAGGCCCCTCTCAGACCACCATCTGGGCCTGAGGCACGCTCAGCTGCAGCAGCAGCAGCAAGGGCCCGCTCATCGTGTCTTGGTGCATCTCCGTTTGCTGCTACTTCTGGCCTCCCAGCAGAAGCTGCTGCTGCCGGTGCTGTAGAGGACCCCTCAACAACAGCAGCGGCTGAGAAGACTCCTCAACAGATAAGCGATGAGGAAGTAGATTTTTTTCGTCTACAGGCTGCATCGGCAAGGCGTCTGTCGGTAGAGCAGCAACAACACGGGCAAGGTCCACTGCGTACTTCAGATGAAGATACTGGAATAGCGCCAGGCTGCGGATCGGGGATGCACCAAGAAAACTTGACTTACACAGGGGAATTAGATAGATGCGGGTCAACAGCAGTCCCTTCTGCTACTTCTGGCCTGGCTGCAGTTGAAACGCATACTGACGGGGGTCGCTCAAACCCGCAGAGTCAAGCTGCCTCTTGTGGCGAGCTATTGGAAAAACCGCAAGATCAGCAGCAACAAACTGTGAACGGGGAGAGGGAGCAGGACTCGCCTGACGCTTCTGAGACGTCCTCAACACCAGTAACACCATTTGCGGGTCCTGATCCTCTGAGTGGAGACGCGCCGCTTTCGCCCAGGCTGGAAGTCCCGTCAAGCAGAGGGATGTCGCGAATCGTGACTACTTCAGCAATGTCGTTCCTTCTTAGCGTACGGCATCAACTTGAGGCGGAGGCAGCAGTTCAACAAGACCGGCAGCAAGACCAACGGCAGCTGGAGCACCCGGGGGGAGATGCATCCTCCCACGACTTGCATGAGCCAGGCCTGTGCAAGGAAGGCGGCGAAGCAACGGAAGAGGATTCACAGGCGGTGCAGCAGCACCAGCAGCAGCAACAGCAGTTGGAACAGCAAAAGCAGCAGCAACTGAATGCCGAGGAGCCGCAGAAGCAACTCGACGAGGCCGCCGTCAGTCCTTCTAGCAACCATCAGCAGCAGCAAGAGGTAGACAGCGAGCAGACACCTGGCGAACCACACTCTGTGGCAGAGGCAGAAGGCGATGATGCACTGGCTGCCGCTGCTGCTTCGGCTATGGCAGGTGCTGCCACTAGCAGCCGCCGCAGCAGTGGTGCACCAAGTGAAACGCCATATTCTGAGGCTTCCCCCTTCAAATATTCGTCCAGGAACTCACATTCTCGGAGTGCAGACTTAGGGAGCACAAGCAGCCGCAGCAGCTGCACCAGCGTGCTTGTGAGCAGTGGGAAGACCATTAGTGCCAACGAGGGCAACAGTACCAGCAGCAACCCACCGTGGCGCGCACAATGGAGAGCATTAGACGCTCTGACGAATAGGTTGCTGCAGGGCTTGCCAAGAGCCCTAACTGTCATTGCTGAAGGAGAAGGTGGATCACCGGCTGCGAGGGAACCAGAGGCAGCTATAGCAGTGGCACCTTCCGCACCAGAGACAAGAGAGGCAGGTGCTGCTGAACTATATGGAGAGACAGAGCCTGTTTTTCCTCGTATTTCTTGGGTTGATTACAGAGAGGAACGTCTGCGAGAAGTGAGAGGACCACACCACTGCTGCAAGTGCAGGTGGTTTGCTGCAGCCAGTTGCACCTGCCAGATCGTGCTTCGGTTTTTATAAGTGCAGGGTATCCAGTGCCCTCGGGACAGCTGACTCTTGATTGCACAAGGCAGGTGCGCTGGTCTTTTGTGCTACTGCAGTTATGCGAGAAAGAAAGTCAAGAGGTAGCGGCGCAGCGCGAGGACATTGATAACAGCGGCATGCACGAGGGAAACGACGAGTCTTCGGAGGTCCACCAGCTTCTGAAGCGCCGGATCATGAAACGCGGCTTTGCGGTCGCTTCGTCAGCAGCAGAACGGCTGCTTATGCAGCCAGCGAAGTCAAGGGATGAATGGAAAGAGCTGTGTGAAGGGACAGAAGATTCGCTACAACGGCAAATGCGCCACCAGATTGACCCACTGGCTCAGCCGATTACTCGAGACCTACAGGTGTTACTTGCGGTTGTTGCTTTTCCTGCTTAAGGGTAGCAGAACAGCTTGAACAGCAGCAAGCAAGGCAAGGAACTGAAGCACTGCATGTTTGCGCCTTTCTTGTGGCCGCAGCAACTGGAGGAGGCGCTAGAGGCTGCAGCAAGCCGGGCTGAGGGAGCTGCGGAGGCGAAGCGTCTACGTCTTAGTAGGGAATCGTGGGAGTCGGGTTTCGTGTGAGTCTTCTGTCTGCTTTGTTCTGCTTCGTTACTGTTCGTAGGACTTTTACAGAGGGTGTGTGGGGGCCCACTTCTACTGTCGCTGCTTCTGCTGAACCGCACCATTTAACGAAATTGTGTATTTTTGTATGTGCTTCTGGTGTGGCGATGCTGAGCGGTGACCTGTGGAGATCCCGTGTTTCTGCACTTCTAGAGCTGTTTTTATCTTTGCCCGTCGGTGCTTTAAAATTGACCTTCATGATGGCTGCTTGCTCACATGTACATTTGACGGGGTGAATTACCTTAGTTTCACTGCCTGCTTTCCTTGTTCGCAGCGCTCTGGCGGAAGAGCGTCACGTTGCGCTGCAGTCTGCCGCCAACAACGTCGACTCTGCAGCAGCCTCATTGGGCGGTCTGCTGGAACAGGAGACACAGGTAAGAATGTGGCTGAGGGCTTTTGCTCTGTAGGGTCTCTGCATCGCTGCGGTTGAGGAAACCCTGCTTATCATCTGTTCGTTGCGCAGCTGGCGGATGAAATAGCGGCCATGAAGGCGGAGATCAGAGGCTTTGACAACACTAGCGACGACCTGCGGGTGGGCAAGAATTCTTATTTGAGACTTCTTTTACTACTTCAGCTGTTGACCCCTCACGCGTACGGCACCGCCGCCTTGGGGAGAAACGATGTCTATTCTTTTTCACCAGTTCATTTCCTGTTATATGCGTTGCAGCTTCTGGCAGATATTCGCCACAAGGAGAGCATTGTGAAGGCATTTGAACGGCTTAGTGGCGTCCGAATACAGCGAGTCAGCACTACAGGACTAGTCGCCGAGCTGGTTTGGCCGCGGTCCCTTCCTGCTGCGGCTGCTCTCCAAGTACCGGCCGACGATTGTGCTAGGGATGCACTCTCGCCTCAAGCATGCACTAGCAAGCTATTTAATCGCCTTTGTGGAGCGGCTGATTACCCCGCATCGTCGACGAGAATCACGATTTCGTGGAGTAGAGAAGAGACAAAGGAAACACAGCGGCACATGCAACCAGCTCCTGCCCCCTTTTCCATGGCAGCAGGAACTGCAGCTGCTGCAATTGCAGCCGAGCCAGCCACTCCGATTCGACAGCGAGTGCAGATCGTGAGGCCATGCCTTCCCCCAGGAGGTTTTTCCACCGACTCTGCAGTATGCACGCCGCTGTTGGCTCCTCACGGAGGAAGAGCGTACGGGGCGGATACAACAGCCTCAGCAGATGGCGCGGCTCCGTCTACAGCAGACGTTGCAGCGGGGCGTAAAGGTGGTGCCGTGCCTGAGTGGAACCAGCCGCAACCGCCGTCAGCTGCAGCCGGAGAACCACGATTCTTGCCCATAACCAGCTGCAAGCTGCAGTCTAGCTTCCCTGTCTTACGCGCTGTCGCCGCAGCTGCTGCTTCGGGAACCGCAGGCGGTGCAACAAATGCAGAGGCCTTGCCACCTCATAGACGATGGATGGCCACCGTAGAACAGCTACGCTACTTTCTTTTGGGAGCCGTGCAACGATCGCTGCAACACATGCTGGTGCAGGTGAGCTGCTCGTCTTGCTCCCCATAATAGGGCTTCTAAAGCCCAATGTCCTCTTTCCTGGTGGATCTCGAACTGCGTCGGTGTTGGTCTTCTGTTTTTCAGCAAGGATGTAGCCATGGCCGAAACGACGCGGCAGTCCGCTCAGGCCAGGAGACGTCTTATTTGGCAGGAGCCGCTACTGGATCTCATCTGCCCAGCCTTGGGATGAGGGGGCTTAGTGGCAGCGGCGATATGAGCAGTCGGTCGTCTACTGAGACCGGCAGCAATAGCAGCGGAGCAGAACCTGCTGAAGGCCGTCGCCGGCCTGCTGGGGATCCTCCCTTCCCGGATTTGTCCACCGTCAGGGCCTTGCTGCTGCATGCACATGCAGCTGCCGGGAGGGTCGCTCTGCTTCATGACCAGTTGCTCCTGCTCCTTCACGCCTTCACGAGTGTCACGTCTGTTGGCTGTACGTTTACTGTGGGCACGTGGTTGCAGTTGCTGCAGGAGCAGCGGGAGGAAGCTGCTTTCTCATTCGCGTGGGGAAGATTGGGGTGTGTTGTTGTCTTCTCTTGCGTTGTGGCTTGTCAGTTGATGACAGAGGAGAGGAGTCGTCGCTGCCTCGTCTAGTTTTCAAGACTTTTCTAGCGCCCTCCAACGACGAGTTGCCCGTGCTGCAGATGTGTCTTACAGTGAGGCTGCGGCATCCTGGCCTTTTCTTTTGTCCTCTTGTCACTGTGTTTATACATATGGCTGCAACCAAGGGGGAAAACTGGAATAATAGACTTTTAATTCGTGTCCGTGGGGTTCGAATCTATCTCTGGTGGGGATGCCGGGGCTGCCACCTCCGTCGACGCTGCTCTGGGATGCGTCAATCTGAAGTCCATGCTTAATTGACTAGCTTCGTTTTGGTACTTTTTTGGGTGCATTGCAAACTCAGATCGACTTAGGTGAAGCGCTTGCACGCGGTTCTCTATTGCTTGCGGTAGAGGCTGTAGAGGTAAAGTGTCTTTCAGCGCTTGACGATATGTGCACTGACGGCCAAGAAGCATGCAAGGCCCTGCAGAGCGCCTTTCAAATGCGTCTCGAGGCCTTGTGGTGAGAGCAGCTGCTTGGCTTCTGTTGTTGCTGCACAGCTGTGCCTCTTGCTCTACAAAAGACGGCCTCATGCTTTTCTTCGAAGTTAGATTGTACTGTGAGGCGTCGAGACTGTTTCGGCATGTGCACTGCAGGGACTCAGAGAAACAAACGCTCTCGTCCGAAGGGTGCATAAAGGCATTCTCTGACCAGGGACTCGTGGAGTGTCTGTACTCCGCATGCGATGAATGTAGGCTGTTAGCTCGCCCTAGTCGTATGAATGCTGCTGTTGTGCTAGTCAAGGCCGAGCCAACCATGGTACACCATCCGGCGCCCTGAGGTGCTCGTTTATGTTTGTCCTGCGTGCAGGTGGCTATTCCCGTGCAGTAGAAAACTGGCGACCAGATCACGTTGCAGCACCATATCCAGAAGGAGACGATTTTCTCTCCTTTGCTCTATGGGGATCTGCAGAGGCCGGAGCATTAGAACGATGGACAGAACTTCTGGAGGACGCTGGTATTGCGGCCCTTCCCTCATAGTATCTAGCTAGCACCATCCATCTGTCCAAACGTTCGAATGGCCGTTTTTGACTCCCGCTTCTGATTTGGAGTGCTAGGCTATTCACGACCGCCACGCTGCTGGTGGACTTTGATTACAGTGTTGAATAGTTTCTCAACAGGAGTTTATTATCCTTCCGTTCAGCTTAGATCCCACACTGAGCCGAGGCAGATGACTCCTTTCCCTTGCTGGCCCTGGCGAGGAAAGGCTGCCTAAATCCGGAGCTGGGTTGGAGAGACGCTAGGCGCATGCCCTTTTTGGACGCGTCTTTAAAAGGCCCAGCATCAATGCATCGACAATCCAATTGTCGCTCCCCCCTGGTGGCGGAGGCCTAAGGCTCCCACAGTACAGGATTACACCACGCAGGTCGCCCAAAACCAACCGCGTAAATTCCACTTTGCAAAAAAATGCCTCCCCTGTGCATAAGAACTGAAACTTGAGCATGTTACTAAACTATTACGTCAAGCGTGCTGCATATCCATGGATCTTTCGTGTACTGCTTCCCATGCTTTGCATAGAAATATAACCGGCATTACCCCGCGATGCCAACGCAGTATGTTAGCAGCGCAGAGGCGGCACTTGAAAACAAAGAGCGGTCTCCTTTAAAGAGCAAATGAACCGAAGCGAAGCTGTAGCCTAAACGTTACCCCATTGGCCACTGAGGCACAGCAAACGTGTTGGGCAGTCAGTAACGTTCCAGATAATTTGACCGGCCAGAGCCTGTATGCATTAAAAATAACAATCTGCAGAGTGTATTGTTTTCCTCTCTGTGAAGGCCAGCTAGGCATTTTGAGCCTCTCTTACTCGCCTGCAACGCAACTTCGGCAGATGTGTGTGCCGAATGAGCCTCAGAGATTCAGGCCCTCTATTGGTATCGAGAGGTTAATTGCAGCATCATCTGAAACAGTAGACTCCCGCACGGCTCGCCTAAGCCATCCACTTACAGGGACTATATTTACAAAACCGCACATCTCATCGCTAGCCAGGGTGTCACTGGTTACAACTCGTTCTATGCGTTTTCTGCCTACCTGAGGCCCTGTCATTAAGCTTACTAGCGTAGACGGTGTTGCGATAAATGCTCTGATATCGCTGTTATTGGTGCTGCGACTTTCATTTTCGGCTTTTCTGTGGGTTTGAATCGGGCAGCGAGATGCTATTGGATGGTCTCCTGTAACTGCACACAGCGGGGGTTGGTACGCAGCCAGCGTAGGGAAGTCTTTACCAAAACCCGACGCCCTGCTGCTCAACTAGTCACAACACAGCACCAACAATAAAGTTTCTAGCAACGAATAATGCACTGTTTGAAGAAGGTTCAGGGTGCGGGCATTTGTCCTCATGGGGTGCGGAGAGCAAACTACAAGTACCAACGAAGGCGGTTCTCTATTGGTCAGTGTGCATGCGTCTGCTCGCCACCCCGATTCGGTGTTTCGCCACCTGCTGACGCTCGCAATGTTGAAATACTGCAGGCATGACGCTCTTTGTTGACGCTCTTACTGCTAAGCAACGGCGAGATAGAAGAAGTGTTTCCTCGCTGCTTCCGCAAGAAGTATTACTCACAACTTGGCTGCCAAACGCAAGGGAGTCCTGCTTGAGGAGTGCACTCAACGGCAAATTAATCTTTGCATGGTTCGTGCATGGAGCGCGATGCGTCAAGATGTCTCACTTAAATGACTTAAGACACGCAACAACAAAACTGGAGCTGCATACGCATGTCAGTGCCGCATGCACTGAGGTGCGTGTGCAGGTCGATGTGGAGAACCGCTCACGACAGAAGAGCGGGACACGTGTCTGGTGAGAGTGCAGGATCCCACTGATTGGAGAAATCTGGCAACTGGCAGAGTGTTCGGCGTTCCCCAGGGTTGAAATTTGTGGCTAGCCAGCATGGATAGGAGCAGATGTGGTTGTAACTAACGTAAACGGGACTCACTCTGTTGCGCGTCGATCCCCCAAGCTCATCAGGCCCGAAGGAGACCAGGCCGTGGAAGTCCCCGTAGCCATTCGTTGTGGTGGTGCTTTCAGTTCTCCCGCTAGCTCCGTTCATTCTGGGAGTATGGGTTGCTAGCCGGAGGAAGTTTTTGGGAAGGGTTAGAGGACCCCTTGTGCCTGGCTTGTCGCAAGCGGGCATCTCTTTGCATGGCGTTCGGGGGATGGGGTCTAAAGTAAAAGCAACGTTGCGTCCGTTAACTCTCTTAGCCCAAGCAGCCGTGAATGCACTGTCTCCAGTGCGTGGTGCCCCAAATATAACTGCATCAACTTTCATCGGATAGTTTAAGGCAATGCCGTAGGCCATGAGGGCTGCCACTGCACCTCCCAAAGAGTACCCTGTTATTAAGATCCGACTCAAAGGTGTTTCAGGCCTGTCTACTGAGGCAAGATAAACCTGCAGCGCCGGCCAGGCGGCACTGAAGATGTGGGAAAAGCCAGCAGCTGTCCGTCCTTCTCCCTCTCCCAACCAATTGAAGGCGTGCTCCGCCTGACCGTTCAAAATCCACTCAACTTGTGTCTTTGTGCCTCTGAACGCAATAAGAACTTCGGTCCCCCTTCTTCCAGCAACAGCCAAGACATTCGTCCGATTTCCCACTCCAGGGGAAAGCGCTTTCAAGACTAACTCCGTTCGCCAGCCGGGAAGGAGGTCCTGTCCTTGTGGTAACACTTGGGGAGGCCCACGCTGCCACGTCGGTTTTCCTTCACTGCCTGCTGGCGAAGGACTTGCTGCGGGACCTGTTGACGTGCTGGTGGCCCTTGCTGCTGCTTCCTCTCCTCCTGATGAATGAGAAGGGGGACTTTGGGGCAGCCGTAAGGCAGGGGCAAGCTGTCCCGTTTGTGCCGCCGGGACTCCTGCTGGTTCGCCCGTTTCTGACCCCTCATCAGCTGCTGAAGAAGCTGGTACAGGCTTTGTAGTCGTCCCTGTACTCAACCAAGAAAGCGATGGAGGCGCACTTGAACTAGGAAGAGAGGCGCCTCCCCACAGTGAAAGGGGAGGTGGTAGTTGTGTTTGCACCTTTGGCTCGTTTTCTTTTTCTTCCTCGCCTTCTCGGTGAGCCTCGTCTGGTTGGGACTGCTGTTGGGTTTCTTCTTGCAGGTTTCGCCGCCGTTCCCCATCTGCAAATGGCTGCTTTATTGGAGTCTCTGCTCCTGGACCGCCAGGTGGCAGTTCGCGGCCGCAGTAGGCGAGTGCCCATATATCATCCAGACGAGTGAGCGCTTGCCACAGCAGCTGGTAGGTGGGCCCTTCCTCTGTAATGACCGCTTTGGGGATCTTCTTAGGAATGCCTCGAGTTGGATGGAGCAAACGCTTTAGCGGAAGGGAGAGGGTGTCAGCTTTGCCTAACGGCAATACTACTGGAGACAGAGGCGGTTTCCCGTGGGCCGTTTCTTCACTGATGGCCTGGCAAGGATCAAACCAGGCAGTACGACAAAGAATACGCTCAGTAAATGCTCCCAGAAGCCAGCAGGAGAGCTTTCGGTTCAAAGCAGATGTAGGAAGTGCTGCGCATGCCATATCTCCCAAATTTACACGGATGGGAGAGCCTTCAAGGGACTGAAGAATACTTCCCAAAAAGGAACCTCCCAGTTGAGGAGCTGTCCCGTGCGACTCGCTAGAGCGAGGTTGCTCCTGAAGTCCCTCTAAGACATTTGACTGGACTCGCTGCGGCACGAATACACGCTGGTTTTGTGAGCCAGCCCTTTCCATCATGCGGGGCTGACGCGACGGAGCAAAGAATTGGTTTGACCACAAGGCGAGATTTGGTTGTACCGCTGCACTGCGGGCCTTAAACCCCGAGCCAGTTTGCCAGATGAACTGCGGGAGCATAGGTGTTCTTGACGCTACTTCTACTAGCATCGTTTGCTGGGGCCGCTCTCTCGTTGAAGTTTCGCGGAACAGTAAGAGGGAATCTGCTTGCAGAAGCCGAGGAGCAGCAGGCACCAACGGAGTTGAAGAGTGCAAGCGGTTTGTCACTACTTTCAGGCTCTGTTGACCAAAGGCGGCGAGAAGGGGCAGGAGCTGGAGTTGCTGAAAGCGTCTGGCAACACTCATCAGGAAACTCTGGGATGGAAGCTCCTCAGTGCAATCCCTCACAGTCTCTCCGGCTCCAACAACAATGGTCACTGTCATAGGAACAAACTGCGGGAAAGAACTATGCTGATTTAGTTGCTGTGGAAGAGACTGTGATGCTGAGGAAACGGGAACCGCTGAGGGTGAGCCACGCAAAATCGAATTCGAAGAAAAATCTTCACCGGGCTTGTCCTCTGTGGTTAAGGCAGAAGTTGACGAATCCCCCTGGCCAGCGTCATCGGTAGTAGAAGAAGACAGGACAATAACTGCATGACTATCATCTGATACCTCAGGATCATGTTCGAGGGATAGCGCATGAGGGGCAGCTGCAATGGCCGCTGACACTGCTTGACCTGATGAAACGACATTAGGATCGTTTACACTACTGACGGGCTCTATTTGCTCCTGAGGCAGTCCAAAGTGCAGGAATGTGAATAAACAGACGATAAATGAGCGAAATCTGCCACAGTGGGGCACAAATGGCCTTGGGAAGACCCGGCAACTTCTGGAACCTCCGGGCTGCAGCATCCTATGTGAAGATCAGGCCGGCTCATGCATGCGGGCTCCCTGAGGTGACACTAAGCCAGTGATAATTCTCACTGCCACAATCGATGGAGCCTTCAAAGTGGCAGCCAGTCGCAAGGAGCCTGCCCAAGGTGAACGGCTTTGCTTCCCAAAACATGTGAACGCAGAGTTCTTGCGCATTCCGTTCCCATGAGGCGAAATAACAAGAAAACTGGTTGATAACAAGCAATTTAATACGTCAAAGTGGCGTTTCAATGACAATTCTCTGGTTACGGAATGCGATACAATTTAAACAAATATGGCTGGTCACCAGTCGGCTCCACCCAGCCCAGTTCGGCCGCCGGGAGCTGAAACTCCTCACTCACTTCAAAACAGAGTCAATCGCTGGTATATAAAAGCCAACTATCAGCTAAATGCGGAGAGTTGCTGTATGCTCCTCTTGCCTGCCTCTGCCTATAGATCGGGGCTTGCAGACAAATATGGTGTCGGCCAGCGGTCCAATGGCTTCTGCTACATTCATCCCCTAAATGCTAAATGTTATCTGTTTTAGCTACAAAAGCATTATCTAGATCATTTACGAGTAGTGTTTATGGGACTAATGTGGCTCTGTTGCTCTTAGTTATGGGTGTGCAGTAGCACCGAGCCCCACTGTAGCTGTCCGCTGCGGCCGTCTGCTGACGATAGCATTGCCCGCAGTATTAATATTGTCGATTGTTAAGGATAGCAAATTACAATCATGGCAACAAAACCGGACTCTACGAAACCTCTAAAATAGGGAGTTGCGGAGATATTGAGGATAAATGCAAAGCTTACGTTGCAGCGACAGTCTTCGATCCTAGCTGAGGATCCTCGCAAGCTGCAGTAGTGTCAAAATGCCCACTATAAGAGTTAACCAAAAGCAGATGCCCGCCTATCCAGTGTCCAGGCACTCTGCGCAGAAGGGTAAGATAGCGTTGGGCTGGTGCGGACAGTAGGCGGCAGCGGGGCGCTGCAATTCTCACGAGCTGCAGAACTCATATCTGCAGCTTCTGCTGCTACGCTACCCAAGATTGAGGCGAACTGAGCAGCAACGATGCATGCACTAACACTGTAGAGAATTGCTAGATGTTCATTTTGCCCTCAGGAGCTGCGTGCACGTGGACATGAATGCTTCAGACAGACCATGCTACATCTTCTCCACAAGCAGGAAACACTCTGATGTCCGTGGGCGCCGGAAAAAGCACAGGTGCACCGAAGGAGACCAAGGGGGTTTCATAACCCCTAACACAGGAGAGGAAAAGAAAAAGGGCAGGGAAGAAAGGGCAGTGGCATCTGCCAATGCTCTGCATTGCCCTCCTGCCGTTCACCTGCGCCGAGCTGCGGCCGGCCCAAGCTGGGGCGTAGCCAATTGTCATGTTACATGCTCTGTGCCTGAGCAAGCCGGTACACAGCGTCAAAGCACGGGGGCTCGAGGTTTGTCCGACAAGGCTAGAGGGAGGGCGGGCAACCACAATATGAGAAACAATGGAGGCGTTTTCAGCAGTGGCGCCGAGCTAGCGATAGGTAAAGAAAGCGGTGTAGAGTGCACTGGGAAGATAATCGAAGAGAGAGTATCTATGAAGATCTGAGACTCTCAGTAGGCCCAGCAGGGCAATCGTGCACAACGCTCTGCGTGCGACCCCAACTTAATGGCGTGTCGTGCTGACCTACGTTTGCTGCTGACGCTGAAGCTACAATGGCACGCTCGTGTTCTTGATGAATTACACTGCCCAGGCCTAATAAACGGACAGGGGTTGCCTGTCTTCTGGCCATTCAGTGGTATATCGTTCTTTTCTGTGACATCTGCGCCTCTTTTTTCGTATGCTCACGATACCAGCTTATGCTTTATAGGGATACTTTGAGGAAACTTTGTTTATACCCCGAACCGTTGTATAAAACCACCAGTAGTGTTAAGGGATGCACCCACGGTGGCGGTATAGCTCCAGTGTATGCCAACTCGTTGATCTGAAAGTGAACGGCAAAGCGTCCCACCCAACGCATGGAGTACTTCTTTGTCGGTTGGCACTCCTGCACGTTCGTAGATACCGAGAACCCACTTAAAATCCTGTGTTGCAAGTGGCAGCATGCATGCCATTCTTCCGCTTTCTTCATGCAGTCCCAGGGTGGTGCATGCTATGCCGCGAAGCCACCATGTGCGAGCAGCCGGGACTATCTATCAGAAACCACTTTGAAAGTCCCATCAGACAACAATGTTTTGGTGTAAAACAGGGGAGCAGCGGAACAACGGGTCAAAGAAGGCACTGTAGACGCATTGCGCACAAGGGAGAAAATCCAGCCACTGGTATAAGTTCGCTGGGTTCACAGTCGCAAATACTGTACGAGTGGTGACCATGTTATGACCAATATTAAACTGCATCACGGCTTCGTTCTAGAAGGCGTCAACGAGGTTCGGCTTAACGGCCTTGCACTTCGGAATACCGAAGACTTCTGAAGATGATTAATTAATACTTAGGCCACTCAGTATGCTGTAGAGGATGCCGAGCAGGGCCTGAGGAGCATGCTTGTTGAATCTATCCACAACAACGTATATGCTACCACAGCCTCAGAATAATAGTAAGTCCACTATGAAATTTATTGAGACGCCCGGACAGACGCTCCTATATACTGGACAACTCTCAAACTTTGAGAATTTTCCGCGGCATTTGCCGCTTGCATTGCAAACAACTGATGAATTTTTCATCAGCTGGAAGGTCCATCCTATGCCACCAAATGGACCTGTCCACCAGTTTTGCTGGTTGCTAACCCTTCCGTATCGGTTGAAGAATGACGAAAATGTTCCGAAAATCCTCTGAGCAAAGCGACGCTAGAACGTGTACCCCCTCTAACCGCAGCAGCTGCTTTTACTAGCGCTGAGTGGCGGACTTTCTCACTGCTCACCACACGCTCGCCCTCACCCACTGCAAGCCTAGGATTATCGCGTCTTGACCTGGTCATGCATAAGTGCTGTAGAATGGTAATTTGATCACTTCGTGAATTTCACCTGCATTTAACGCAGTGTGAGCGACCCTTGTGTCATTCTTGCGATGGCAAAAATGCCACAGTCCCTTTCACTGCAAAACGCTGCCCTACAGACTGTGCCAACGAATTGAGGGGTAGATGACCATTCCTCGCCAAGGCTTCAATTCTTAAGTTCACTTTGCAGCATATGTAAACTAGCTCTAGCTAAATATGGTTGCAAATAAGAACCTCGCTAAGTACATGTTTGGCTCGGGGCGAATATACAGGTTGAGCTTCCACCTTTTTGGCCCTATCGTTGTGCTGCACGTTGCTCTTCCCTAGTCGCTTCGCTGGTTTCCCTGATTCCACTCCCCGAAATCTGTTTTTTCGAGTGGCCCAAAATATCGAATTATGTGACCATGTTTGCTGCAAATAAAGTGGATGCTCCACCTGGTACGACTTCCGTAATATCTGGATGCCTGATTCGCCAGTTGCTGTCTGCTGTCTTTTTCTTCTGGTCGGCGCTTTATTCATATACCCGATAATGATAGGCTCTACCGGGGCCACTTCCACAGAATTTTTTCTCCATTCTCAACAAGACGGCGGAATCGGCAAGTTGTTCGCTTTTGGCGCTTAACCACTCCATCATCTAGGCAGCGACCACCGTTTTACCCTCATGCATATAGTTTTCTCTCCATGACCCTGCATGTTATGGACTAATTCTCTCCAGGGGGAAGCCCGGGGACAAATTGTTGATATTGTAGCTCTGGGATTACCGCTGGGATTCTGTTCGCCAAGGAATAGTCCTCAATTTAGTGCTCAATTCGTAGCTGCTCTCACAAAACTTCAACAAGTTCTTCCATAGCTTCCTTCCACGTCCACCTGCAGATAAACCTTTATCGCGGCGCATCCCGGAAAGCTTCCGCAGTCTGTATGTTCACCGCAAAAGTGGTACCCTTTCCCATATTCAACCACCCTTGTACCACCCCTTCAGATAAAGGCGATACCAGTAACAACTGTAGCGATTCATTTCTGAAGAAATGACACCTACAGGGAAGCAAGAAATTCCTCCTGTGACCCCGCATCACGTGCTCGCCATATTTAGACAGTAAGCAAAAGAGGAGACATTTGTTCCTAATTATTTTCGCTGTAATAACACTTTCAGCTGGCTGGGCTGTTCCTGTTCCTGGGAGAACGGCCGCCTAGTCGGTGGTTGTGTCTCCAGTTGAGGGCAGATCCTGACAATCTACATTAAGTTCTGAAAACTTCAAGGATAGTATAGATGAAGAACATTTACACCTTTTGTTCGAAAGCTCCTTCAGGATTAGTCAGTGATCTACGTGTGGCCAACTCGCTGAGTGGGCAGAATTCGTAGTTTCTCATTTCCAGGCGGCGCTACCAGGTACAAAGCGAGGCCTCGATCTTAACCGAAGGCCGTCGTGAGCTGCATTGGTGTCAGCAGACTTCACAAAAGTCAACAAGAAGCAGCTGAACTGCCCTTCAGTACCCAAGCGCACTGAATACAGCTCCGCAAGGGCCGGCAGTTGTTGTTGAGAAGAGGCTGCCTCTCATGCGTTGCCGCACTCCTCGTTGCAATTCCGCCTGCAAGGCAAACGCACACACAAGCACATGCTCCGTCTGATGCATGCACAAGCAGCGTTTGCAATTGATAAAGATCTACTCAGCCATCATTGTCCAACCTGAAAGCAAGAGGAAAAACAACCATCAATTTCAGGCAGAGCACGCAGCGCCCCGCAATGACGCGAGAAATATGATTAGGGCGCCGCTTTACCACATTGCACAGTGAATGGACGGGTCATAACTGCAACTGCTATGCATCTGCTTCTACTAGCACTACCTACACAAAACGGTCTGTTCACGGTGTTTTGTACGCAAGTGCTGAATGCTGCATGTGCGGCGCGGTTTGTTCGATACTCTTGCATGAACATTTGCTTGGCGTCAATAGGCAGCCTCCACGCAACAATGCTTTTCAAAAAAGCAAAAGAGGGGCTGGTTGTGCTTGCTCGTGAAGGTTCCTTGCAGCACTAGTTGCACCGAGTTGCGTTGTAGTCCATGCCAGGTACACAGCCGCTGGCACGTGGGCCGCTGTGCCCAGAGCGTCTGGGAACTGGAGAAGAAATCTGCATTTTTTTAGGATTTCTTAAATCTTCTGGCTTCATTGCAGCTCATTTGCTCGGACGGGGTCGGGGACTCGTTACAGGGAGTTCTTCCTGCTGGTGCAGTTCACACTCTCCAAAGCTCCTGACACTTAAGAGCTGACATTCACTAATCAGATAATTGGGCGTTCACATCTTAAGTTTGTTTCCTTGACAAAAAATGCGATGGAAACAAACCACTAAATGTGAGGCATTGAGCATAGGTGACCCCGCGTTTGTGGGGTCGCTTCGTTGCACGCGAAGAGGCTGCACACCAGGGAAACCAAAAAGAGTATTTAGTGCACAGGCGCAATAGACTGACGACTGACGTGTTAAGCTAAAAGCGACTGCAGCTCGAACCGACAGAACGTTGCAAGCCAGATGGACCAAACAGATCGGCCGTGGGATTGGGCTGCATGCAGGCGAGATGGAATTAATTCCATCAGCATTCAAATAGCTTAATTTTTTGGCGTTTTAAGCAGCAATCGTGACTTAGTTCGCGATGGCTGGGACGTCATACGCCGTTGCGACATTCTTTATTCTTTTCCTGAAGTACACTCCACACCTTCTGAGCTCCAACGCCATTCATGTGGGCGAAGTCAGCTTGCTCTAGTTCTTTGCGCCATAACAGCTCGACACTACGAAAAGTGTATTATCGCTACAGATCTGTGTAAATGGCCGGCGTTCGATGCACATGCTGAGCTGCCATCGGTCGCTTCGCCTGATTTCACCGTGTTCGCCGTTGCCCACAACTCGGTACAACAAAAATCCGTGCATCCATCTTGTGAAATCGAGGCCGAGTACATTTCCGCGTCTCATTCCACTAAATTGCCCTGGTCGCGCTTGCTCACGTGCCCTGCAGATGGAAACCAAAGCCCCTCAACGCGTCGAGGAGGCGAACGCTGCCGGTCTCGTCGTTGGACTTTCAACAGCACCCAGTAATGAAGAAGCACGGGCTGTGAGCCACCTCTACTTGGATCCAGAATTGCGCGTCCCCTATACCGCTCCCGTTTTCTCCGCACCCCATATGGGACACTTCAGACATGTGACCTTCAGTAGAGAATAACCCAGCATGACTGACACAAGCCATGAACACCCAATTCACATCAATGGCATACTGGCGATTAGCGCTACGGGCTTTACTGACTCTCATGTTGGAGTTTCCTGCTATCCTTTGCGTGTTGAATGTGGCCACTTGTGCAGATCGCAGAACACCTCGTCACGCAGCACCTCGCCGCATGCGTACAAATCGTGCCTGCAGTAGAAAGCATTTACGAGTGGAAGGGGACAATAGAGGCGCGCTCTGTCTTACCACACTTCATACGCCAGCAAAGTCCGGTTGTAGCGGTCGCCATTTGACCAGTAGAGGGTAGGTGTCTCGGGTGCGATGCAAGGCTTATTTTTTCTGTTGTGTAACGACGCAGAAAAGTTCCGAGGTTTTGATTATCATCAAGACACAGCGGGCGCACACCCAAGCAGTGGTGCAAGCAATAAAGGACATGCATTCTTATGAGGTCCCGGAGGTGGGTTCGACCACTGTGTCATTTGTGGAGGGCCTCATTATAATTTTGTGCCCTAGAAAGTACAATAAGCACATTCAAAATTCTATCGAGGGATACTGATGCGCTTTCTGGTTGTTTGCGGGTGCCAGGTGGTGTTCACTGACATTGTGGACGGCAACGCAGTAAGCGGAATGTGTGGGCATCTGAAGTCTACCCCTCAACCGCATCCTGCAATACTCCTGTAGCCCTAAATCCCCCGGCAGTTCAAAACCACTACAGTCACGCTGACATCTATATCTCATTTGTGTGCATCCCGACGCAGGACTACATCAAGTGGGCTCGAGCTGTTACCCAACCCAAGGGCACCTAAATCTTGCCCCTCAGTTCCCTGGGATTCTGACGGGTACCCAACAATGATGAGCGCAGAGGAGCCAGAATTTGCTCTCCCCCCATGGCTTGGAAAGTAGAAACACAACCGTGTCCTGTAGAAGGGTGCGTGCATCTTTCTTTTGAAGTTTTTGACTCACACGAAATGGGAAGTCTACACTTGTTGGTGTTTCTTTACTACTGGGCCGCACTACACATGCCCACTAGACATGAAGCGTTTTTTCCCCCGCGCAGGATAAACTGCAGCGGAAGCTTACGACTTCTAGGAGTCTCTCGGGCAGTGCACAGTTCGTATTCTAGTTCGGCTAGCTTATACCCGAACAGCCTACCCGACACAGCCCCTCACAAGCGCACCACCGGCTTCACCGGCATCACCGGCATCACCGGCTTCCTACTTATTTCGGTGTGCCTACGCCCAATCCAAACCCACGAAAAGCTTACGCAACGTGCGGTCTGGGTGTTCACTCATGCATAGTAGCAGGGGAACTGGAACAAGAAAAGCCTGCTAAGTCCGGTGTTCACACAAATTCTACCGGATAAAAGGGCTGACTGTGCACGAACTCTGCTCAGGCAACTCCCTCTGGTGATCCGTGCTTTATCACGTGTATAGGAGAGACTGTCAGTGCTTTATAGGAGTTGTGAAGAGGTGCATGCGAATCGCCGGTGAACACTCCGTAACAACCATTCTCAAACGCGCATCTAGAGTATTGTCGCATGATATCCTTCCGTCTGCAGTCAGCAATATAACGCCACCACAGCTGAGCACAAGCAGCAGACGAAACAGCTAAATGTATCTCAATTCAGCCAGGCTGCCCAACAACCCTACCAGCTGCTAGCATTACACGTGGTCCTATCGTGCCTCCAAACAACGGTAAGTCTGAGTACAAACCCCATGCATCTTCGACTAACCAGGAAGGCACCGAGCTATCGCCGGAAGGAGGAGGAGGGAGATACCGCCCCAACTTGTCAATGGAAAGCTTGACGGTCTTCTTCAGCCCCGCTTCCTCGTTGAGGATTTTGCTGTACTTTGCTGCAGCGGCCGGGAGAATACTTTCGACGACTGGTCGGTCCATTTCACGACACCTGATGATTACTTCAGATTCCAAGAGGCGTAACAAACCCTGAGATCGCAAATACATCACTTCCAGGTCCATAGTGGTACCTCTAGGATCCTATATGGATTGCAGGAACGGCATCCGACAATATGTCTAGTACTCACTTGCACAATGAGATCTACAAGAAGCTCCTTGTATCTGGCAGTGTCGGAACATATGGCAGCCAGCTGCTTTTGAGACTGAGCATAAACTTCGGTCACCACTTGTTCTTGAGCGGCAATCCGGCGGAGGCGTGCCTTGTTGATGGCTGTCGATCGGTCGCTGCGATAACACAGACAGATCCTTATACATGAGCAAATTCACAGGGCGCAGGCTGCGCATGATGAAGCTACTTCGACGTTTTCTTCTTAGTGTGGTACCTACATGGAACGCTGCACCTCAAGCTTTTTCGCTTTCTTGTCAAACTCCTGACGAATCTTGTCCTTCATCTGCTGAACAAGCTTTAGCTTCTCAATGTTGAAGTCCTCCAACGCACGTGCCTCTATTTCCTGGGCTTTGTCCTTGGCTTCGTTCAAAATGAACTTCACCATTTGCTGGATCTGGGCAAGGGCTTCTTGATCATCCTGCAGACCAACACATAGCCATCATTCAACGCGCCAGCAGATGCAAAACGGTCAGACGCTTTCTTCACAGGGACTCGAGATACACAGCTACGCGCTGCATAGTTCCCTACACACCAAAGCGCTTGTATGAGACAAACTGCTGGTGCACCTCTTAGGGGGTTGGGTACATCTCTTGCTGATATGCAGGAAAGACCAACCCGATGATGGCTTCCACTAGCCAGATTGGCTTACCATCGCCATTTTCGCCGTGTCTTCAGTAAATATCAGACTACACTTCACATGCCATCCACCCCCTGCGGAGAGTGGCACAGTTCGAAGTGGCGAAGACAGATGCCCACACTGAGAATGCCGTTTATTCTGGAAAAGCTGACCGTAGCCATTCAACTCTAGATATAATACAGTCGGGGTCAGGCCTGAATGAAACCCAGGACTCTGCAGGTTTCACCACCAACTACCGCCAGTGGCCACGGCTGGCGAACGAGCGTCCAGAACCCTGTCGTGTGTTCGGCTACGTCATGAACCATGGAAGCGAATAAAATTGGCTACCAAAAGCAAGTATAACTGAAGATGAACAAAAAGAACAGTTCGGTCGGTTCCATCAAGCAGCCAACTTCCCAGAAACCGCACGGCGCGAGCAGCCGGGAGCTGCCGGCGACCACGTTGGTGAGTCGGCGAGGAGAACTACTTGCTTCGTGCTTAGTTCAGAGACAGAAAATTTACCGGTTGATCTATGGGAAACCACAGGGGGTTGGAAACTCTGAAGTTCGCCTGGTGGCGACGCCGCTGCGCGTGGTGTGCCCGATGGGTTCCGTTGGTCGGCCTGGCAACCGGCATACAGCCACAACGTGAATGGTAGTAATATTATGCCAGGTATATTTCAACCTTCTACAAGAAGAGTTACTCCAACCTTTAGAGTGAATCCTTGGGCCACAGCGAGAACGCTATTTCAGCCTCGGAGTGGCAGGGCTGTCCCGCCGTTTGCGGGGCTGTGTCCCTACATGTGCGCTAGTAACAGGAGTAATAACGCCGTAAGGAAAATCTAAAAAAACTGGAATATTTGGAGGCGATGTTTTGCTTGTTGTAGCACCGCGACATTGTTTCTACAGGGTGCATCTGTCTGCAATGGTTTTGGACTCGCTCGTGTGAGCTGCTGCAAAAGTAGCTTGAGGGACTATTGTTGTAACCACCAGCTTTTTGTTGCCCTACTGCCAAATATCCGCTTGTCAGCGGGACCGTGCAACATTGCGGTGAAGTATCTGAGAACCGAAATATGTCAAGTGAAGCGCATGTACTCATCGGGTTCGTCGGCGAGCAAGTTCCTGACGACGACCAGACAGCAGCAGAAGCCCTAAGCAAATTTGGGGGCCGGCCGGTACGCCTTAGCTTAGCGGATTCGGTTGTGAACAACTGCGCAAGACAGAAAAGGTTGGGGGCTGGCCTGAATAGGAGGGTAGTAGAGTGTAAGGAGGAAGGCTGTATAGTATCGTCTTCATGCAGGTTTGGATCGATGGCAAAGTTCCGGATGGATTCCCCTTCAGCTGCTCTCTCTGCGGTACGGATCTTGACTTTGTTTGCCAAATGTAAGCCTTCCACCCCCGCTCCAAGGAGATGAAGGAATATGGCTACTTGGAGCTTCTCTGCTAACCCATCTGCGTTGCTTCCCCTACACAGTGAAGAAATCGAGCACATATCTTCTGTTAAATCTTTACAGAGCAACCCCATACTGTGAAAACAAACGATGCCTCTACCTTTTCGGGTGTCACAAGCAAACGGCCTGCGGAAGGAGACCTGACTGCTGGACAGTGGTAAGAGGCGTTGTAGAACCCCCTGCCACAGCCCAGGCTGAAAAGCAAGTCCGCGAGAATTCATCTTACTTCTCAGCGCAAGGTTATGGCGCATTTGCCTCCGTGGAACCATCTGATTGGCTCCAAGCGGCGTTTGGCTACGGGGCCCGTGCTAGCTCTGGCAATGACAACTGCTGCCGGAAGAGTGAGGAAGCCTGCGGACCAGAAGCAGCGTCTTCACAATCAACGGCGCCGGCTGTAGTGCAACAAGCGGCGAGTGAACTGATGCCGTCTTTCTTTGTTCGCATTGAGCATGAACCTCCGGACAATTCCCAATTCGACCCCACAGGTGGGATGTGCACCTAATAACACAGCGTAGCTTGCATTGCCTCAGGACCTGGTGGCATAGTAGTGGCGTGGTCTGGCTTGGCATAACCGACGAAAATCATAGATTTGGGAATATTCAGGTCCAGAAGTAATTACAGTACTCCCTAATTATTCACATCCTTGCAACGGAGGGAGCGTAGCAAACCCAGCCTTTTACAGCTTTACAGATCCATGCCGAATGTTTTGTACAGGAGTGCGAGCACGTCAGTTACAGCTGGAGTACGAACAGCGGTAAGCCATCTTTAACTCTAGGAGCATGCCTGCATGGTATGCCGGGCACTTATACAGTCAAAACGGCTGGCTTGAGTGTGTGGCGCAGCGAAGCACAGGGTTCAGCGGAAGATACAGAAGGCAATGAGTGCGTTTAACACTATTTCCGTTTGCCGAGAGAATGCTCGCGTGTTAGAAGAGGACATTTACTACTTCCGTGAGGACCATGCTTGATCGTCCTCAGCAGAGTGTAGTGCATTTGCTATGCGTGCAGAAACAGCATCGCTGAGGCGGAAGCATATGAAGAAAGCCCGGACAAGGTAAGTTTGCAATATAGTATTTGAATATTCTTTGGCATGTTCATCAACTGACCTAATAACTACCGCATGAAGTGGGGATGTCATTCACGAGTTACCGAGGGCTTGGCGTCTCGTGTTGGTCCTAGGTTTTTCTCAAGCTACAGAAACGCCTATCTAGGAGCCCTAAGCAGGCGATCCGGTACAGCTTTGGAGGGAAGCCTCTGTTCATTTATCCCGTACCAAAAGGAGAAGCAGCAGTTCCTCCTTGCCCTCATTGCGGCAGCGATCGAGTGTTCGAAATGCAACTTGTTCCAGCTGCAGCTGAAGAAATTGAAAAACGGTATGCTTCACGTATGCAGCCTCAGCAGTTTGCTTTGTATGAGAAAAATGCAGGCGCTTCCTTGTAGGCTAAGTGCTTTGCATCACAGGAATACAGGCCATTGTTAGGACGTTGAACGTTTATTGTAAGTGCAAAGCCGCCTAGAAGAAGCTTTGTACTTCCCAATAAACGGAAACCGGCTGCGTGAAGTACGCGGCAATTTGACGTGGTTGTCTTGGAGTTAGAAGCGTTCTTTTGGTGAAATTAGGCGGCATCCAGGCTTCTTGAGCTTGCTGCCTGTCGGTGTGCGTGTAGACGTCATTCGGCCGGGGCAGCGCCTGTCGAGTGGGGAACTGTGGCTGTTTTTACATGTGAGTTGAAGTACAATCTACGGTTGCAACACACTCTAAACTGGGAGGCGATGGCCCTTCGGCCTTTCGCTCTCAGTTCACTCTGAGGGTGCTGCGTTTTCTGTAGGTAGGAAGGACTGCACTCCTACTGCCATTTACACCGTCGAGCACGTCATTGTGCAGGAAATATTATGAACGTTTCTTTCTTTGGCGAAGACGCCTTCACGAACATATGCAAAGCTGATCGTCTAGATGCTGCGTGCCAATTTGAGCGCAGCATGACTGTAGCTTGTCTTGAGCACCCACGCCAGTGCTATGACGACCATCCACCCGAAGTATGCAACAACCCAGTTGTTTGTCAGGGGTACACTTCTTGAAAAGGGGCAAGTTAGAGTGCGAAGCTTTTTCTTCCATGCAGGTCCACCTGACTTAAAATCCCCCCGATCTTCAGGCGGTGGTGCCCTGAAAGTAGGCAGCCACTCATTACGCTGCTCACTGGGGTGAGGGCTGTTTCGTTCACAACGCAATGCTCACCGAGGGAGTCCTATAATGAGTCTACCAAGGTTGGCCGGCGCGCCAGACGGCCTTAACACGAAGAACGAGCCATGCGGCAGAAACAAATTATATTCAATAGCAGCACAAGGTTCGACGCTGACGCTTGCATGGGGGCACTGGAGTGTCAGAAAATATATCACGCTGCCTCGCCTTTTGCTGAAATCTTGTGGAAGTACTCAAGACCCCATCATGTGTAGGTGCAAATCGAGCTACGTACTGGTTTCGAAGGTATTCAGTCCAATACGTGCACCGCCCACAGCGGAGCAGCCCTCCCTACACATCTCTGTAGAGTCGCCGAGTGTCCAGAAAGAAATATGACACTCGCTGAGGGATATATGATGCTCAGGCGCCACACTTATGAAGAATATCGCATCGATTGCTGCTCCAACAAACGGAACGTGGCATATCCCGAGTGCCACGAGCAAAATCGTGCAAGTGGTACGAAACATTCCAGGGGAGCGGTGAATGCACTTGAAAGGCAAAGAAGATACTTCCGTGTGTCTCATGCTTCGTTGAGCTTGGTCAAAACCGTATCTCTGAGTAGTGGGGTCAAACGGCAGCGTCAACCGTTTCGCTTCGCTTGGGTGTACAGACGAACGGCGACGGAGTCGCACTTAGCCACAACTAGTATTAAAGCGGTCCCACCAAATAAAGGTGTGACAATCTGAAGGCAACTGTCTCCCACTACCAAGCGTGTATCAAAAGGGCACCGCCATTTCCAAGCTACAGGAACATAACTATGAGAAGACGTCCCACTATGACGATGACGCATGCCTGCGCACTCCGTCGTGCTATTCTGTGCACAAACCGCCACAGACGCCAATAAACAATGCATTCCTATCCCTGATGGGGATCATCAATCACTTGGCCTGGGTCTCGCAAGTACAGCCTAAATATCTAACCCAAGGCCGTCAGGCTGCCCTTTGTAATGTTCTCGAGTTCCCCGCCCAGCCCTTCGCCAGCCCGCCACCCGCGAGGTGTTTCTGGACGTGGCCTTGCTGCAGGCAATATTGGGTGCGCCGGCCAACCACTACGGCCTCCTATGCATCATTCTGTGAAATTTCTGCTCAGCTAGCATGGGTTGGATGCTCAACCATGGGCACCCAACGATTGCTAGACAACAAAGAAACTGAAGTTCCTTCAGTCTGCCGCAGGAGCGACTTCCTGAGTCCAAGGTTCCTGCGACTTGTTTGTCCCTGGTGCGTCTTCAGTGAGATCGCCGGCGCCTTCATCCTTCGCCTCCTTCTCTTCAGTCTCAGTGAAATTGGCGACAGGCACGCTTGCGTTTGCCCCTGTTCCGTCCTGGGCCATATCGTCGTTGCCCAGCTCACCCTTTTTGACGGGGGCTGCTGCGACCATCGGGTCTTCACCTGCAGCTTCTCCGTCATTCTGATATGGCGGCGGATCTTCAGCTCCACCTGATTCCTGTGCCTGTTTCGCTCCGGCAGGTCCATGCTCCGCAAATCCTGCATTACTACCTCGCTGTCCCGTCCAAATGGGGGCTCTGCAAACAAAAAAGAAACGAGAGTAACCTATGCCAAGGGGCCACGAAGGCAGCCCTGCTATCACTGCAAGGAAACAAACTAGACCAAATCTCCAAGAAACGCATACCCAGAGCTGGAATGCGTCAACGGCGGAGTTGGGCTACGGCGAGGCTGTTCTTCATCTGTTAGGTCTTCATTAAGGCGACGTTTCGGCCTGTTGCGCCTCTGCGTATCTTGGTACTCGCTCAGTCGTTTCGCTCTGAGGAAATCTCAAGACGTGCACGCATCAGTTGATTTGTTTGGCAACGAACACTCACGAGTCTCACGGGCACGTACAACTCGCACGGGGAACGGGAATGAAGCATCGGCTTACCTCTGTTCTAGCCAGGCGTTTAATGCCTGTTGGTTCCTGCAACGACAGAGATACTCCTGCATTAGCTTTAGGCCTGAAAGTGAAACACATGTAATATGCATCCACTAATTCAACCCACATACATCCATCGGAATAGGAGCTACAGTGATCGGCTGGCCGAAACCTTCACTGGGTCGGTTCCGCGTACATCTCGCCTTAAATTTGAGGTACGGCTTGTTGTTCTCGTGGAGAAACTCTTGCTTGTTCAAAGAAGGCAACATCCACTCCGGGACATTTATCACCGCGGTGAAAGCATATCGGCATATTTGCGGGGGCTCTCCATCTTGCCCAAATAGACGCTCACTCGCTAAGATTCCACAAATAACAGAAACCAAGAGCAACAAGGCTTTGAATGATCAAGTAACACAAACCCCGCTGTCACGAACGATTGTATACGGTCATGTGACACAGAAGTCACGCGACGGCACTTACGCGGGTATCTCGATGCTTCAATGTACTTCGGCGCGTCTGGAAACGTGCACTCCAACTTTCGAATGAGTCGCTGCTTGAAGTACAGCATAACCCCTGCCTCACAAACCCTGGGCTGAGATGACTCTCCCATTGGGTCGTTCAAAAATCCCATCAGCGCGAAACATCCGGCATCGTGATCTGCTGGGGTAAAAAGGTACGAAAGTTCTGCCTGTACCGGCACAACGACCCACACCATAAATACATCCCAAAATGCAACCTGAGAGGAGCAGCCTCGTCAGAAACAAAAAAGAACGTTGGAAATAGTGCATGGGCTGCCCTGTTCCCTAAATGTGGAAGTCGACAGCAAATTACCGGGGCATAAAGACGCTGCTTCAAGAAAAGGTACAACGAAGGCGACACGGGACTGCCATCTGCCATGAGCTCCCCGTCAGCAGACCGCTTCTCTGCCAAGGCTGTTTGAGGCCGAGATATTGATGCAATGAGACCACTTGCTGCCTCTGCCTGCAACTCTGCCGCCTCCTGTTGCTCCTTACTGATGAGCGTTTCAGCAGTACTTTCCATCACCTCAGCTGCAGCCTTGGTCTCCCGTGGCTCCCGTTGCCGCCCACCATAGCTCAACGCCTGCGGCGAAAGAGGGACACCCTGGACGTGGATGGTGGCTGGTGCATGCAAGTTGAGCCAAAATAAGTAAGTGGCTAAGCAGTAGTCCGGCGAATGCCTCGCAGTTGTCCACAGGGGGAAATGCGGAGGCAAAGACTTCTGGCTTTTGGCCTGCTCTCCTTGAGCATCTGCAGGGCTAGCACGCTCGCCCCCCGCTTCCTTTGGCTGTTCTGACTTTACACCTTCTCCTGAATTTCCATCTTCTGTATTGCTGGGGCCAGCCCGCACAGTAGTGTTAAGCGGTTTCCCATCTTCGTCCACATCCAGCATCTCTGGCCCTACGTGAGCATTGGCTGCTGCAGCTTCATCAATTGGGGGTCGACACGGATCACGAATCGCCTGTGGTTTTTCGTCGCTTGCATTCCCCGAACCTTCAGAGGCCAATCCATTCGGTACCACATGTGTATCCGCTGGTTTGCTGTCCGTTGTAGGTGTCCCAGAAGAAGGGATTGTTTGGTCCGCCGTTTTGACCTCGGAAGAACATCCCCCAAGCTCGCCGTTCCTTGACACGAAGGAGCTACCGCATCTTCCCTGGCTTGGCAAACGAACATCCGGAGCGGACGACAGGTACATCATGTTATCTCGCGGGTCCACCACCAAGGAATCCAGGTCATCTCTAAGGTCCCAAAACACCATCCTTGACCCCGGCATTGTACCCAGGACGTTTATTTGCTCCGCCAAAAGCGATGGGGTTGTGAAGGGAGTGTAACTGATATCAAACGGACAGCAAGCAGCACGCAGACCACCACTCCTTAGAGTCATGTCTACACATACTGAAGCACTCGATGAACTCGAGGCGTCTTCCCCACAGCTAGACAACGGCAAATCATTTCAGCAGAAGTGTCCATGATTCCTCAACATGCTGGCAGCAACTGCAAGCATAGACTGATTCTAAAGCCCTACGTCATTAGCAAACGCTGATGGTGCCGGTGATCTGCCATGTTATTGGGGTCCCTATTGATGAGCTCCTTGTTCGGCAAACGCCACATGCACATCTGCACGCACACCAGTGTTTCAGCCGCCCGTCCATAAATACCACCAACCAGCTCTGCTGTGTGGTGAGGAACAGAGGAGCGTAGGGGCGCAATAGACTACAAATGGGACCTTACCGGTGCCGCAATTTCCCGAGCGTCGCAGTGGCCCATAAGTTCCAGAGACAGCATGCCTATGCCAATAGTTCCTTGCGTTCTGGACATTATGGCACAGCTCGACGCAATACGTCCGTAGGCCATCTTGAAGCCGCAGCCGTACTCGTATCCCTCTGCAGGGGCCCGCACCCACAAAGATTGCAGGACGTTCCCAATGAAGAACCCCAATGGTCACAAACGGGAGCACGACGCTGTATGATCTGCCGAAAAGTAAACAAAGAAAGCCCATTGGACCGGGAAACCACCCAGATGACGTACTTCGCCGACGCTCTCCCGGCTCAAAGCTGCCATAGAGGCGCAACAGCTTATTCATTGCCGGATAGTCAAGTCCCTGCCCGTCGTCTTGCACAGAGAGCATCGGATCCTTGTCGGGAGTCTCTTCAAACTTGATCCAAACGTTGCGGCAGCCTACAGACGGGTGCATAGCGTTGTCTACCAGCTGTGCGATGGCCCCCATCAACCACCTCTGCTGGCTGCACAGTGCCCAAAGGATGCCGGGGGTGTGGGTGTCCCGTTGATACCACGAGGGTGTCATTCTCATTGAGTTTATGCCGTGACCCATAAGATGCGAGTGTAGCGACTCTCCCCCAACCGGGCAGGAAACCGCGCCTGGACCTCCCTGAGCCATTAGCCCCTTGTAGGGATCGTCGCCGGTGAGAGACAAAACCCAAGCGTCTCCGAGCACCTGCACAAAAGACAGCAATCTGCCATCTCGATCCTCAGAAGCACTTAGCCGGTCAATTCCTACTGCCTTCCCAAGTACAAGGCAGCCTGGCATCAAGAGGGCGCACCTGATGACGCCGGAACCCGCCGTGAATGAACAAACACGGAACGGGAGGGCGGGTAGGCCTGGCAAGGGGGTTGTGGGTCTCGAAAAAGCAGGCGACATGGCGCTGTCTAGCACCAAAAGGCTCCCCAACATAATCCGCAGGATACCGGGGCTTAACGGTGTACCACTGCTTTTTGGAAAAGAAGTACACACTAATCTGGTCCGTCTCCGTGGCGCGGGCTCTACCACCCTCCATCACTGTTGTGACGCCACTAGTTATCAGCATGAGCCGTTCGATTGTCCGTGGCTCCGCCCTCTGCAAATCAAGGAACAGAAGCAGTGAGCTTTTTCAACACGAGGAATCAACACAAGCCGTATCCAACAGTGGGCAACTTCACCCTGTGCTTCCTCAAAATAAGGGAGAGAGAAAACGTGGCCGGTACAACATACTGGTTCCTGGTAGCGTTGTGTGATGAAAATCGCCGCGTAATGCGAGCGTGGGCCTATTTTCCCTTCGTAGATCTCCTGCTGCCACTCTCCTACAACAACAGGCCCAGAGTGCGCCTCATTCACAATATCCTTAATCTTGAAATGCCAGAAGTCTTCAAGCAACACTCTCTCTCGGCAGGAGACCCTCCCGTTGGCGCCGTGCGTCTCTCCTCCAAACAAACTCAAATGAAGATCTTCCGACCATATCATGGAGAAGCCGTATCGAGGAGGCGGCTTCGTGTCCCCCACACGAACTTCAGTCCACGTGTTGCTCGGAATATGCAGAGCCCACATGTCATTCAAGCAATGAAATGAAACGCTTGGGTTACTGCGCAGATAATCAACCCAAAGCATTATAGACCAGCACACGCTCAGAGAATCAACCCAAACCACCGTAGACCTACATGTGATCAGAGACCCTACAACAATGCTTCGGCCTCGAACGCCTTCTTTTATCGCCGAAATGCATCTGGCCACTGGACTGCGGTATGGTGTTGTAATCTCATCCTCCGCACTTACCCTGTCCGCCCGCCGAAAACAAACAGGAACTCCGAGAGATTGTCTGAACTGCTATCCCGCCAGTTCCCTGTCTCTGTCTTGGCCGGGAAAACCGAAGCCGCATGCTGGTCACGCGGCGCTGGGGGCAGCCCAGCTGGATGCTTCCGCACCCATCTGAAAACATGCAACACCGGAAGCAAACTATGCGCGGGCATGTTCGTAAAATCCTGTGTATTACACATAGCATAACAAAGCTTTCGAACTCCCCCGCCCTTCAGGTGACGTGCCCAAGTATATCTGAGCTTTCTGCCCGGCTCGAAAGCGCGTCTAGACCTTCACCCCATCGACGCCATTCAGCGTGCCTGTATCTCCCCTCACCTCTTGAAATCCAGCTCCAGAATGTAGACATCATTGCAAAAGTGATTCCCCGACAGACCCCCGAATAGAATCACACCGGGGCTGTGCTGTAAGGTAAGACCGTTTGTGCTGTGGCCGTCTCTTTCAGATGGATATTCTCCGCAGAACACAAATATGCGGGATGAGAAGAAGTTCAGGTTAATAACGCAGGCACTGCGAAAGCTTACACCTTCTCCTCTTTCGTTCGTCCCCCCAAAGAATATAGCCTTGTTGCTGAACGATATCAGCGTGTGCCCAAAAACGGGGACGGGAGTCAGAGGGCGCCGGACTGGCAGCCAACGAACTTTCTCGAACACTGCATCAGTAATAGAACAGACGGAACCACACTCCGACTATGCAGAAACGAGAATTGCTGCCACACTTTAACCCATACACCTTCAGCCATCCCCGCTGCTCTAATCCTGCTGCTATTCCTGTTTCTGCCAGTCCTCCCTTTACTGCTAGTCCTCCCTTTGCAATTACAGCAGCTACTGCTCGCCCGAAGGGAGGATACCTACCATCCTTTGTGCTCTGTGGGGGCATCCGCCTTGAGTCAAGGTTGCGTCTGATCACCCTGAGGATGGCATCTCTACTCGTCAGGCCTGGACCTGACGCCCCACCATCAAAAGCGCCGCTGGCCGCCTGCTGCTGATCCTGGGGAATGCCCACTGACGAACGAGCCCCCCCTGCTACAACACCATGAGGCGTCGTGCTGCTGGCGCTCCCTGTTTGGCAAAAAAGACAGTTACACCAACAACGCAATCTGAAACAAGAGAAGCACCACTGAGATACTCAAAGACGAAGAAGCACCAGAACAAACGGATCTCTATCCCACCAGAGCTCGCCAACCACTCCTAGCAGCGGCAGTCGAGCAAAGCCTTCTTACCTGAGGGTTGAGGACTGTGAGCTGGTTGCTGGTTCGTCGTTTTGCTAAGGCCAAAGGCTTTTTCTATTCTCGCCAGACCCCCCGCGTCAGGAACTCCAAGTCTGCCGGGTTCGTTTTCCAGCTTCCTTACAATCGTGTGGAGCACATCGTGGCCCACAACGGCCCCAATGAAACTGTATACTTTCGAATGGGGTAGGTCGTGGTTCAGGAAATCCGTAACAATGCCACGGATCGAATTCCTCTGGTCTGGGGTCGTAACACTGTCACTCGCCAATGCCTCAAGCAGGTTGAATAAGGTAGGCCGCTGTCCCCCAGAGCTTGGCTGGCTGGGGGCTCCTCCCACGCCTTGTGGGGCTGTCACGGTGTTAGGCCCTGGATGCGCCCGCATGGGAGCTCCACCAGCCGCTGCGCCCGCGGAAGCGTCCACTGCGTTCCCAGAAGCAGGAGCTACCTGTTGGTGTCCCACTGGCTGAACTGCAGAGGCGCTGGCAGCTGTGTTAGTACCAGCGGCTGCTACTGCAGCCTGCTGTCTCCCTGCCGCTGCATCGCCTGATGCGGCAGGGTCTTCGTCCTCCTCCATGGCTCCGAATGAAGCATTAAGCTCGTCTTCCCAAGCAAACAGACGCTTCTTGAGAAGCTCCATTGCCAAGACTGAAGACGCCGCAAGAGAAATAGGAACCGAAACTGCAACTACCCGGCGTCCCGAGCCCCCCGAATGTGGCACATGATAGAGAGTGACTCCTTCTGCGCCCTTTGGAGTGGACACAGAACACTGCCGCTGAACCGCTGCCATGTCCACCGCCTCTGCGGGCGAACAAAGAATGAAGTGATGGGCTGTGCCGTCGGTAATAAGACGGCTCTGGGAGAGGAGATGCATGCTGCGCTTAGGGAAAGGAACGGTTCCACCCTGAGCCCCCGTATGGGTTGGCATGCCCACCAAAGGGTGGTCTTGTAGAGGCGGAGCGCTCATTTTAGCACTTGCCAGAGACAGGTCTTGCTGATCAGCTGAAAGGGTGCGGGTTGAAGAGCTGAACCTGCATGGACGAGGAACCCCCTACGGCAGACGCCGCAAGCGAATTACACGTCAAAAAAGGAATGCTACCGCAACGACTTGGCAAGGAGACAAAAGGGAGGCAGCAGAGGGAACGAGGAGAAAATGAACACCTATGAAGAGTCTTCAAGAGACCGGCAAGAAAGCAGGTCACGAGCTGGCATCTGCAGTCGGCATGGTGGCACGAGGCGCTACCCATGCAGCTGCAAGCGATTTCAGTGATGCTCCACTCCGCTAGACCCTTCGAAGCTCTTATGGAAGTCCTGTAGCTGCTTCTGGACCGAACCTCCGCCTCCTCCTGGCTCTGGTTGAACGTCCTTGAGTGCACCGCGAATTGCGCGCCGGCACACTAACCAAATTATACACTTTTCTGACCTGTTCCCTCAACAAGGTTTGTAGCTACGCCGGCAAAAGGGCACCTGGGTCCGGGCTTGCGCACAGGCACAAAGGCCAGGGGGAGGGGGGCTGTGTGGAGTTGACGTGAATCAACTTTCAGGGACCGAGATGGCAGCGCTGCTGAAATATATAACAGCAAACAGAGATGCACGGACAGCGTGGGGTTGCCAGACGTTGGGCGCAACAGTGCGTGAGCCTCCCTACTATGTGCATGCTGCCGGTTGCGCTGCGGTGTCTCGCCAGCTGGGTAGAAAGGTGCAATGGTCCTCCATGATATATGTCCTTCACACGTTTTTATGGCATGGCAAAGTATAATTGATTGGAGGTAGAGCCTGTGGCCGACAAAGCCGGGAGGAAACGAAGTAACGGAGCAGGCTGGCTGCAAGCGGGCTGTTGCAGAACGAAATTGCCTTTCTAGTGGCAAGCGTCCTGTTCCGCAAGCAAAAAGGGCCTACAGTAAGTGGTAAGAAAAAACAGTAAACTACAACCCGCATGTAAAGGACGGTGAGCCAATAAGCTGCTCTTGGCGGGCGCACGGCCAGTAGCGAGGGGAGGGAGGGCAGCGGGGAGGGCGGGGAGAGGGGGGACCTATGCGAGGCATCGTCACCAGTTCATTCATGTGGGATCAGGCCATCTAGAAACTCAAAGCACACGCAGTTATGCTTTACTTTGAGAAACAAAGCACGAGAAAGACGCAGCGTCGAACGGTTCCCGTCCTCGTCGCAGACAACGCGGATCGTCGGACAGGAAGGAGGCCCATTCTCGATTGCTTTGTTGTTTATCGCTTCCCCCTTCAACTCATGTAAGCGCATCAGTTACTGTACGGAGTCTACGGCGTGTTCTTAAGGCGGACCGCGTTCCTCTTAGCCGTTGAATCCATGAGTCGACAGGCATGCGTTGTGCACCAGGGCGTGCAGTTTTGCTATCTCGAGGGTAAAGCTCCGATCATCCCTCACTTGAATAAAAGAAACAGGCGAATTGTGGTTTGCATGGATAGTCAGACAACCGAACAGCTGGCGTCGCTGGCACCGTACACTTCCGGATGCAAGACGCAGCACGCGAGCTTTATCCTCGTGATTGGTAAGACGCACGTTCCACCAGCTTGACTCCGTGTGAACACGAACGTAGCCTTCGATGAGACACCATGGGAGATGAATACGCTCTTTCTCAACGTCCGCCCAGGCCAGCAGCAGGCCGCAACGGGGCCCCTCGCACGCAGATGCTCCCCAGAAGAAATTGCAACGCCTTCCCACTATGCTGACTCAAATGTTGAGAACCCAGAAGTGCCGCATAGTGTGCGTAGCGCGTGAAAGCAGTGTGCATGTTTGGGTGGCATAGTAAACGCCATGAACTACCTGTAGTTACCATCGACGGCAGCCGTAATACTTGTGCGGATCGCCGCCCAAGTGCAGCTACGCCAATGGCCCCAAATTCCATTTGCTCACCCGGCTGTTTTAACTGACGAAGAAAGAGGGGAATTTATGCTATGCTGGCTTATCATGATGAGGGCCGAGCTCCACAGTGAATCGAAGCTGCGGCGGCAACGGACCGCCTCAAAGATAGTGCTCTTACAGTAACCAACGCGCTCAGCTGGGGAAGTTCCCATGTTCAGTAAACTAGACCCCAGCAGGCTGGCTCACTCCTGTTTGAATCAAGCTGCTCTTCGGCGCTACCACTGGCATGGGCAATGGATGTCGTGTGCTGTTGTCGCTCAGCAGCAATGAGCCAGAAAAGTTCCAAGCTGTGTCGCACAGAAGCCGAGGAAGGAAAAGTCTTCCTCACTCCTATGCAAAGTAACCATGAAATGTAAGTTATCCTGGCCAAGAGAAAATCTGCTCCAATTCGCCAATTCGCATCACACACCCGTTGTACGAAGCCATGGTGAGCAACTAGCAGCCAAGTCGTGCTGCCTCACAAGGCTTTCTCGTCCCAGCCTAATGCGGGCTCTTACAATGAACCTTCGATTCGCTTACCCTCCCTCGCAGTTTCAGAATTGTGTGCAACACTGCTTTCATGCCCCTTCACGCCAGGGTACCAAACAAACGACAGATGTAGTTGACCTGCTGTAGGGAACCACGACAAGCGCCTCTTAGAGGCAGGGTAGCTTGCCAGCCGGTCCTCACAGGCAACCTGATTGCCCAGCTAGCTTGAACTCTACGAATCCTCTGCACAGGATTAGCCAAGCATTCTCTACCCGCATATCCAAAGAGTAGATTATTTTGATTCTCCACTGGTTACCGTTACCTTAGTTCGACTATGTATCGCCAATGCACATTTTAGATACTCGGGAGCGCATTCGCCGACCAGGCTCACCCTCATCAGCGGTACAGTGAACCCATTTGCAACCTTATCTCTTTATGGCCCACTCAGTCTTCGATCGGTCATGTCAATACAGAGCAGGTGCTGTCGGTTGCTACCAACCCTTTGAACAAAATAGAGACGCATGATCTAGGCTGCTGGCGTGCTGTACCAATTAGGGATAATGCCATGTTCGCGGCAGTGCCTCGTAATGCTCGAATGCTGTTGTTTTCACAGTATGCCATCTGTCTAGATGTGCTGATTCTGCCTACGCAGCAGGCGTCCAAACTAGAAGAAACTGACACTGCCAGGCGTAAAATGGATATGACGACCTACTGAAGATGTGACACAGTAAGAAACGCCTTCAGTAGGTAAGTCTGTTGGCCCAACCTCCCCTACAATCACCACAAAAGCAGCGGCCGCTCGCCGTCGACTACGGGGGGGCCAGTTGCTGAAGACTGCACTGGCAATGTGGGCAGAGCACCACCTGCACAACTAAGCCTTGACCTCCGCAGTTAAGGTGTTCTGTGCAGCAGAAGACTCTGTCACAACCTCCTTGCCGACGTCCTCTCCTGCTTCGCCATGAAGCTCCATGAGCTTCGTGACTGCACAATAGCACAACATCATTTCAGACGCCCCTAGACCTGCACAGCCTCGTCTGCAAGTACCCAGCTGGCGGATGGACAGAATAGATGAAGTGTATAAAGTAACTGCACTTACGATCAAATTTTGGCTTCTTTATAACCTTCACCTTCCTTATGAGTACGTTCTGCAAGGGGAAGATACTTCTGCATGCAGCTTCAATGCTCTTGCCGATTGATTCAGGGATAAACTTCTTCACCAGATCCCGAAGCTGACACTTCGATGCTTCTGCAGCCATGATGCTCACCATCTTCTTGCGGATCGCCCGGATTTGGGAAGATCTCGCGTAGCACGTGCTCTTGATCTGATTTGGTCTGCACTTGCAATCACATATATACACCGCAAATATATGGAAAAGAGCACCGGGAATATCAACAAGACTACACGGCAAATTCTCCGACGCTCATCTGGTACACAGTGCTAAGCTTACCGACGCTCCGTGAACGCAATGCAGAACATCCGCAAAGTGTAGCCATCGACGGTCTGAACATCTACGAAAGCCTCGATGAGTGAGTGCCACTTCCGAATCAAAGAGCATAACTTATCCCTTGTAATATTCATGCCGTGGAAGTCTGTTAGGCAGCTGCGGCCCTGGATCTCTTCGCACTGCAACTTAATTTTCCTGAAACCCTGATCTTCATCAAGGTTGAGGTCCGCCAGGTTCACTTCGTACACGCGTCCGCGCAGAGAGTCCGCTGCCAACTCTGCATGCAAAGTGCCCCCAAATGAAAACAAATATGACTAGTAAGGCGCGCAGAGAGGACTAACAACGTGCCCTCGCCCGCAACACCAGAGCGTCAAAATGAACGAAACGAGCAACGAGGGAGGGGCGCCGAGAAATCACCAGGGAAAACGTTCACCATTGTTAGACGCATCTCAGAGGTGAACATACGACTACGTGAATTGGCAAGCTGTCGGGAAAATGCAACACTGGAAGTGAAGGAAGTCTTCCTTCAGCCCGGGCTGACGACCTTGTCCGCCCAATTCATCGGTGGCTAAGTGCGCTAAGACGAGTTCACGTGTAACGCGTACTTGTTCCAGCAGATTTGGTTACGAGAGTTTTGCCGAAGTTGCGCTGCTGGAAGAGGGAGGGAGCCTTCAGGTTATACCACTCCTTCTTCAGGAATGGGTCCCCAACTTTCTTCTTCCCCCCCTTCTTGCCCTTGCTCATGCGCTTGTTCTTTCCAATTGCCATTTTCGCTGAGCTTAAGGCGAACAATCCAAGGGGATACCCGCTAAAAATATGCGTTTACCAACGACACCGTTTCAACAAACGGATATACTGTCCTTGCCAGCCCGACAGACGTCGTGGGGTGTCGCACCGGGACAGCCAGCGCTGCTGTGCATGCATGCCCCACCGGTCTGTGGTTGAGGGCCCGCAACTGAGAAAGTCCTTGCAAAAATTCTGTCTTCTCCCACTAAATCAAACGGCAGACTCCATTGAATTCAATGGAGTGCGCATTTATCGCATTAGCGTATGGTTGGGCATATCGTTTCCAGATTTTTCACTGTAAGCGCTCTGTGTAGCACACGCACTGCAGTGGTACTCAAATTGGACCTGTAGAGGCCTATCCGGGAGAGGGAGTACAATAAAAACATTATTAGAAATTAATCAAGTCACTGTAGACAGGAAATACAGCCATCAGCCTAAGAGTGCCCGGCAGCTGCGCAGGGTCTGGGGCTGGCTGTGAGATCAGTAATTGAGGCGTTGTTCCGCAAGGCTCCAGCATCTGCGAAGGAATTTTTATTCCTCTCCCTTGTTTACGGAGTTTGGACTCTGATATGAATCAGATGCATTTCTTAGATATTTTGAGGTTATTTCAAAGGCTATGCGCTGGGTGTAACGTTTATCGGCCTTGTGTCCACCTAGTAGATATGCATAGGGCAGACAAGTAGTAGCAGCAGAAAGCGGTGTTCGCAACATTCCGTCTGCGATGCAGTCTGGTTGTCGGATGTTATGACTGCTTCCGTGGGACCTAGAGTTGTCTCTCGGGACCACCGCCTCTGTAAGGAGGGTTTTCTTAAACTTATGAGGGTTTTCCTGTTGTCTTGGCAGGTCGCTGCGTAGACCGCTCACGTACTCAATCCAACCGGCACTAGTGCAAAATCATCGATGCACTTTGGTCGAAACGGAGGACCGCCGTGAAGTGAGGAACAGATTAAATTCTTAGCATACGGGCTCATAAAGAGCAGCCCACTTCTCCGGTCTCCAGGCTGAGCGCAGCGGCACAAGGTCCTGCTGCTGGTGCACACAGCCTATGGCGCCCCAGGAGTTGCAGCAATAGCTACTGCAACTGAGACAAGGCAGCCCAGCTTGCGAACACCCCCGACCCCCATGTCGGCGCGTGCTTGACAAAGCAGAAATCTGCCGAAGACTTTTTGGGCCCTCAGTAGCCAACGTAGCACAGAAAAATCTATACAGTTGCCAGCCTGTTACAAGCTCTGCTACAGCGATAAATCCAACCTCAGCCCAGGACCATCGTCACATGTAGTAGAGTCTATTTACTTGCCCAGATGATATAGGTTGCTCATTATCTAGGGACCAAAAGGGGGAGGGAATGGGGCAAAGAGGGAGCCAGAGATTGGCTAGCTGATACAAAAATGAAAAATACGTCGGTGGAATTAGCCGGCTGGGTATTTTTTCCAAAATTGTGGTGCTGTTGCCACCCACCGCGTCTGGCATATTTGAGCTCGGGAAGCACTGTTTGGCATTGTTCTACTGAAGTTTGCTCTACGAACAGACCAGGCTGGGAGCTGAGCTATAGCGAGAGTAGCTCCCATTTTGACCCCCACAAAAATACTAGCCTGGGCCAACACGCAGCATCAAGGTGCAACTGATGCAAGGTGAGGGCCAGTCACATGTGGGACTACAGTCCCACAATGCATAGCAAATGAAATTGCTGTTGGTTGCGCCACTGAGCTAGACAGAGGCGGATGGACGCAGATCACCACAGGAAAGTACTGGGAGTAAAAAGGCGCATGCATTTAACTACTTTGAATTTGCCCATGACAGCGAAGCTGTGTAGAAAGGTGATTGGCTGCCCGAAAACGATCTATGCAGTTCATGTATGGGCTTGGTATCACCACCGCTGTATCAAGCAGAGCAAGAGCGTGTAACACCCCTGAGGGAAAGGCTTCGCCGAAGTTATCCCCGGTAGCCCACTAGGGTACATACCATAATAATGATCTCTTGTCTGAAATCGCAGGATGGCTCCCCGAGTCCATGAACTCCTCTCCGGCCAATTTGTACTGTTATGAAATTATTAAATTTTTGAGGGAGAGCCCGTGAAATTTTCGGCAATTCATCGAGCAGTTTGAGAAGGTATGTCCCTGTGATACGGCAATATTCCCATGTTCTGAATAGTGTAAACCGCAGCATTGGCACCCCAATAGATAGCCATTTATGCTGCAGCACTTAGCCTGTCGCCCGTTGTCGAGCTCTGCAAGAATCACAGCCGCGTGAACATTCATGGAGCAAGAAATACTCACTTTAGGAAGAAAATGTGATTTGTCGCAAAGATGTAAAGGTACTGGCTGGCGGGGCGTCAGGAAAGTGCAGCAGTAACCGTCCGTGATACGCCTGATGCATTTGACCGTACACTCGCACTACGTGGGTTGCAAAAGCAAGCGAACGACTACTACATTATCCTAGTCTTGTAAACCCTTTACCAGGTGCGTCAGGGAATGATAACGGGTTCGACCTGCGAAGTGCCTGCCAAGTAAGTGATGTCGACAAAGTTTTACTCCCCACAAAATGGTGTACAGTTACACGCACCGGATACATCTGTTCTTGTGCCGCGTTTCAGTGTAAGTGGCTGCCTATTATTTGGTGCTTCTTCCAACCACCCTTTTTGGTGGAGGCACTCACTCCAACTCTTTGACCGTGTTTGCTGCAGAAAAAGCATGTGCGCCGCTCGGAACGTTCCCCTGGTATTCTCGTTGCTGAATTTCCAGGTTGGCCTAGGTTGCCGCGTTTTATTGTTGCTCTCGGTTGGCCTGGCATTATCTGTAATATATATATATATATATATATATATATA